AAACGTTGCAATCATATTGAAAAATTCATTATAATTTCTAATAAAGATTTAACAGACCAGTCATCCACTCCCCTAATGTGGGAAGCTGTTTCTGTTGTCTTTTTTAAATCTCATAATGATCGTTATGTTACCATCAACAATGAAGCGCCATTTTGTGAATCAGTGTATATAGAATTATGTCAATCGCTTGTGTCTTGTACTTTTGTCTTTCTGCTTGAGAGGATCGTGTGAGCGTTATAGATCAGAGTGAAAGGAAAACCTATCAACACAAAACTTGCAGGAGGAAAATGTCTATCCTTTTGTTGGGCGACCCAGACGAAGACATGGACTTCTGAACAGCTGGATCTCTTTTATTCTTACAGCCACAATGTTGAATCCAAATTACTGGATTGCAATGTTACAGCTGGACATATAAGTTGAACTGGTTTAACCTGTCCTTCCATTAGACTGACTGACTGAGTATTCCATCCATCAGAAAACACACTGCCAGGGGCATCTGCCTCAGTACCCTCCTTTGTTACCTGCTTAGTCTCCGGACCCAGTACTCAAAATTCAATTAACTACTTTGGCATAAATCATGTAAATATACGTTGTTTGGGATATTCATCCCAAAATTTCAGAAAACTCATGCCTTTTTCATGCATTCACCCAAATAATAACTAAATATTGACAAATTGTTAGAAAAGGAATGATTCACTTTCCCAAAGGATGTTTTACATATATTACTCAAAAGAAGTAAAAGAACACCCAAACAGATGTCGGTAATAAGAAAGAATATGGTGTTCTTTAATTTCTTTGGAGTAATATATGTTGGGTTGTTTGTTTACATAAAGTGCCACATATTTTTCTGATTAATTGCATGGTAGCCATGGTAACTATAGCTTTAATTGGTCATCTAGAGTCTTGTTCAACATATGGTGTGAACATTTCCGTTTCAGGAAAAAGTATAGTATTACGTTATCATTTTAAAGAACAACTCTGACATGTTTGAAGAAAACAACTTTTAAAAAACACCATTTTTTCTGATCAAAAAGAATGTTCACTTCAGAGTCATAAGACACTATATTAGGGTGAAACCACTGTTTAACAAAATATATCCAATGACTAAAGGATATATTTTGTCAACAGTGGCACTAAAGTATTTCTGAATCACTTTATCTTAGCAATTACAGCAAAATTAAATCATTCTTACAAACTGAAAGATATTTAACTTGTTTAAATGATAAAAGTTTAATAGTTTAATGAGAACTTGACAGATACACACACCAGTCTTATGAAAAATGCTAATGATTTTATTGGTTTTTTGGGGGAAATATGACGTATAATACCATTTCTTGTAATTTCCTTGCTTAATTTCTTAATGAAACGATAGATTCAATATTCATCAAAATCCTTCAAAAATACTTTATGTTGGGCAAGTTAGTCCTATTTTTCTGGATATTAGCTAGTCATTTACACAGAAGTCAATTACAAGACGCCAATCCTCACAATCAACACACCCAGTTAGATTTGGCCTCTGCACAACAAAACGAATAGCCTCAGACTGATTCATTTCCTCATACGAGGCGACAGACTGTCGCCAACCCGGATACACACAAGTAGTCGTACAACTACTAGCTTCACATTTGGAAAGCGACAGTATTCTAATCCCAATGTGTCCTGGAAAATAAATCTCTCCTGCTCAAGAAAACGAGAAAACAAACGTGAAAATTAAACATCTATTTTTACCTTTTCGGATCTTTGTATTGTCCAAGATATTTTAGTAAATTCTGTCTCCAAAACTGATCATACCGGCGTCACTGTGAGTCACTGGCCGACCACCACTGCTTCAGGTGCGACCGTCTGTCACTGTACAACACTAGGGGGCGCTGTTCTCAGCTCGCGAGGCACTTCCGCATTCTGCACCGAGATGCTAAATTTGCATATTTCTTGGAGGGGATAATTAAGCATGATGGTGTTTTTTGTTCAAAATATGTGTACAAAATATTTAAACGAAACATACATTGGGCAGAAAGAATGAAATATACTTCTTGACATCCGTAAATAACATTTGTAGATCTGAACTTTGCCTTTAAAATAAATACTACAATCCCACAGATATTCAATTATTTACCATTATTACTTGAAACACGCGTAGTCGCGTATTATAATGTTTCAATGAACAACTATATGCAAATGAAGCCTTAACAGAGAAAATGTTTCTTCCACTTGCCCAAATGGTAAATTATATTATAATCTACAAAATTCAACATGTGAAAAGGACAAGGTATTTGGCTAAAGCAAGGGGGGTGGGGGGTACTTTTGTGATAGATATCACGCCAGGTCACGTCAAGTCATAATGGATCACATATTTATTGTCATTTACATTTAGCGCCGCGATTCGCTGTGCAAAGTTGCGTCTCTTTAGCACGCCATAAACCAATGATTGTGGGTTCGAACCCCGGTTCGCCCCGATTATGTTTCTAGGTTTGTCAGCACCACACCCGTGCTCGTGGGTTTCACAGAAGTGGTAAACGTCTGAGAGCTGCATATCTTCGGGCTTTCCTCCTACATTAAGCTGACTGGAATACTGTTAAAAGCGGCATTAAACCCAACTCACTCACTCACTCATTTACATTTAAGATTTGAAATACATTTGCCACATAATAATTCAATATGAATGTGGAATAAATCAATATACAAGTCTATTTCCGATCTTTATTGGTTTTGTCTACGAGTGGCCCTCGATGTTTGTCTACGAGTTGGGAGTGTCTACGAACTATTTCAGTTACGAGTTCACGCAGATATATTAAAAGGTTTAGTTAGATGAATGATATACATCTGAACCCGTTTTCACATTAAAGTGTCAAAATGAAAACACTGAAGGGTCACTCGAAGTATTTAATTTTTTAATTAAATATATATATTGGAGAGAGGCGGGGGGGGGGGGCTCTGAGGCTAATCATCCAACATCATTCTTCCAACTTTTTCAATTTGTAGACAGTAATCATGGTAACCAGTGACGTCACAATGGTCTGCAAAGCATTGCTGTAATTTCATTGCAGCGATATCTACAAAGTAGATCTCATGCAAGCGATATCTCCTGTTGGAGCCAATTTTGGATGATATATATCGTATTTTAGAGGGACGGGAAATAGAGAACATATCCACTGGCCGCCATCATTTACTCCCTAGCAACAAAACAATTCCACCGTTTCCATAAATCACCATCATGCAGTCCGTGTGTTACAAGTCCGTGTTTTCTCGTAAACCAGACACATTAGGAAACGCGTTGTTTCATATCCTGCTGTCGGAGAACTCCATATCAGCCCCGCCCTTCGAAACAGGCAGCTGTACAACGCTAATGTGATTTGTTATCAGCGTTGAAAATAGTTGATGGTTTATTGTGTGTGCACAATCGATCTGACACAAATAGTTTCGTTTCTCGGTTCAAGAAATGGGTAGGCAGGTTCAATTTCTATTTGTTTTGTTGTTACTTGTCACAAACAGCCGCAGCACGGAATGGAAAATAATCCAGAACTAGAACAAGCGCCAAAAACATACACACAAAAACAAGCTTGTGTTTTGGGGGTTTTTTTTGTTTGTTGTTTAACGCCGCACTCAGCAATATTCCAGCTATATGACGGTGGTCTGTAAACAATCAAGTCTGGACCAGACAATCCAGTGATTGATATCATGAGCATCGATCCACACAATTGGGATAGGATGACATGCATCAACCAAGTCACTTAGCCTGACCACCCGATCCCGTTAGTCGCCTTTTACGACAAGCATAGTCGCCTTTAACGGCAAGCATGGGTTGCTGAAGACCTATTCTACTCCGGATCTTCACGGGTTTCAAAGCTTGTGACGAGTTGTCTAGTTTTATGTGACCTTATAACTGGGTCATAACGGATTGAATCTATATATAAGCTCGAAGGATTCCGTGTATACACGTCAATCATATGTAATCATATATCAATCATATAATGATATATCAAGCATACAATCATATATAAATCATATAATCATATATCAAGCATACAATCATATAATCATAAATTGTGCCGGGATTATTTCAACATTTGACAACATGACTACAAATTTATAGTTAAACCCAAAGTGAGTTGGGTTTAAAGCCGCTTTTAATATTATTCCAGTTATATCACGGCGTGTCAACTTAATGTGGGATGCAGGTCTCAGACGTTTACCACTTCGGTGAAACCCACGAGCACGGGTATGGTGCTGACAAACCTAGAAACATAATCGGGGCGAACTGGGATTCGAACCCACAATCATGGGTTTCTGGCGTTGCCAAGGGACGCAACTCTGCACAGCGAATCGCGGCGCCTTAGACGACTTACCCACCCGGGCCTCCCACAAATTTGAGAATGCCTAAACTCCGGACGATAGATGAATACATAACATAGCAACTTCTTTTATTCTTTGTCAGAGCTAATTCTTGCTCCTTCATCAGGAGTTGGTTACGAGACGAGTGAGTGTGTATGGTTTTACGCCGCTTTTAGCCATATATTCCAGCAATATCACGGCGGGGGGCACCAGTAATTGGCTTCACACATTGTACCCATGTCGGGAATCGAACCCGGGCCTTTGGCGTGAAGAGTGAACGCTTAACCACTAGACTACCCAACCGCCCCAGGGTCCAGGTTAATTATACATTTAGGCTTAGGATGTGGCGCTTAAACTTGCAGGAACAAGTGCCACTGTTTGATCACTTCAGTTTCCAGTTTAATATCACCAACGAAGATGAAATCTCGAGTATTTACAGGCTATTTTCTCGATAAAGATGGAATATTGCTGGTTGTAAGATAAAACAAGACACACACACGCACGCCGCACGCACGCGCACACACACACACACACACACACACAAAACGAAGACGTAGTATTTGTGTAAATATTTTACGACCGATTCGATGATTCGGACGTAAAATGACATATTTCACTTTTTGACCATTCGAAGTTATCTGCCCTTGAAAACCCGTGAAGATGGCGCTGGAAACCGCCATTTTTCGTCAGACGATCTTCGGATGGAAATGCATGTGACCTAACTCACATTGTGAACATTTCAGAGCAATAATGCCAAGAAAGAACAACATTTCGACAAACGACTTGACAGAAGTTGATTCATTGGTAGATTTAGTTGTACCATATTGTTCCCATTGTTGTGAGACGCCTACCGAGGCGAACAGGCAAACATTACACGCCGACTTCTGTTGGCCTAGTTACACGCTGATGTGTTGGGAATACACATTCTCTGAAATAGTTTATTGTGTACGTTCAGACGATACATATATGTATAAAACCTTTTAACTAATTGTTATTGACAGTAACGTGTGCAAAACATTATTTATTTCGTATGATATACTTGGAAGGAATGGTTGGTAAAACTGCGAACAGGCAACTTTTCTTTTTAAGACCTTGGTCTTTGCATGTAATATCTTGCAGAAGGACGTACGATATTTGTTATAAACAATATTTTTCATATTTGTTAGAAGAAAAGGACATCGAAGGAAGTCATATATTTTCAAATTTGTTAACAAAACCACTATATATATTTCTTATTTTAGTCACTAAAAAAACATTTTTGGTGTCAAACACTTTATACTAAACTTTGTGATCCTTCGCAAAAATTCATATCGTATACTAGGTTGGTACTGAAACCAATCAGTCCTCAATGAAAGAATAGAATAGGAATAATAATGCTGGGATCATCCTAGGATTTTTATAGCACTGTTAAGTGAAATTTGGAACAATTTCTGTGTGTTGCCAATATAATACAATGTTATAAAGACCCACTGCTTTGGAAAATGTGGGCCTTTTTCTACATTTATGGCCCTAAAGTCCAAGGGCCCTTCCTGGAATTATCCCTGATAATGGAAACTGGAATTCATTTTATTCAAGAAGATGTTTTTCCATGTATCTTACACATCAAACCAAACAAAACAACTCTGTCCTTGTTTCCAGACATTCACTAATCATGTGACCTATGTGAAGTTCGGGTCACAGCTTGAGTTGTCTCGCTGTGAGAACCAGAGCTGTGGCTGCTCGAGGGTCCACTGTCCGTTCTGTAGTGTCCACAATTACAAGCCCTCACGTCCAGCCAGGGTCCGAGATCACCTCAACCAGACTCACTTCAAGCATGCCGTGCTGTATAGAGGTTTGTTGTTACTGTTGATTAAATCTAGCCACCTGATTGCCAGTGATTGGCACTCAGTTTAGAGGAATCACCATTCTGTTTCATGCAGAGTTGAGCAACTGTACCTTCCTGTATAAGAGGTGAGGGGCAGTGGGGTAGCCTAGTGGTTAAAGCGTTGGCTCGTCATGCCAAAGACCCGGGTTCAATTTCCGACATGGGTACATTGCGTGAAGCCCCTATCTGGTGTCCCCCGCTGTGATATTGCTGAAATATTGCTAAAAGCAGTGTAAAACTCATTGATCAAACGACAAGATGGATTGTGAGGTGAGGCTCTGTGACTTCATTGATTGCATGTCATTGTACCTGGACGGTGCCCCTTTAAACAATAATCACTGGATTGTCTGGCCTGTACTCAGTGTTCGGGCCATTGTGCTGTGATACAACAGGAATATTATTGAGTTTTGCAATAACACAAATAGACAAATTGCGTGATGGACTTGTCTGTGCTGGCAGGTAGGAACGTGGTCAAGTGCTACATGCAGTGTGATGCAGCCCCCGGGCACTTCCACTGCCCCCACTGCCCCAAGCAGCTCCTGAAGAAAGCCGGCTTCCTCTACCACCTGCGCACACACCTGCGGAAGGCGGTACGTCATTAGTTGCAATCATTGAACCTGATGTGTCGGAGGGGGATGTATTCAGATATTCATTTGATCACAATGAAATAAGACACACGAGATAAGATCTGGGGATGAATAGGTCTTTAGCAATCCATGCGCCTGGCTTGCCGTAAGGGTGACTAACGGGATCGGGTGGTCAGGCTCACTGACTTGGTTGATGCATGCCATCATACCTCAGCAACCCATGCTTGTCGTAAAAGGCGGCCATGCTTGTCGTAAGTGGTGACTAACGGGATCGGGTGGTCAGGCTCACTGACTTGGTTGATGCATGCTATCGTACCTCAGCAACCCATGCTTGTCGTAAAAGGCGGCCATGCTTGTCGTAAGAGGCGACTAACGGGATCGGGTGGTCAGGCTCACTGTCTTGGTTGATGCATGCTATCGTACCTCAGCAACCCATGCTTGCCGTTAAAGGCGCCTATGCTTGTCGTAAGAGGCTTCTAACTGGATCGGGTGGTCAGGCTCGCTGACTTGGTTGATGCATGTCATCGAACCCATTTGCATGGATTGATGCTCATGATATCAATCACTGGATTGTCTGGTCCAGCCTCGATTATTTACAGACCGCTGTCATATAGCTGGAATATTGCTGGCATTAAACAACAAACCAACCAACCCAGTTGCATGGATCAGTGCTCAAAATATCAATCGCTGGATTGTCTGGTCCAAGCTCGATTATTTACAGACCATTGTCAAAATCTAGATATAGATTCTGACCTTAAATGTTTGCTTTTATAACTGTTACACTAAGCACTAATAAGTAGTGAAAGTTAAAAGTGAAAACATAAATATTTTCATCCGCTCCGCCATACGACACTGCCAACTGTAAATCATCAGTGTGCCAGGTATTTGTCCATCCTCTCTCTCTGAAAACGATGGTTTATGCACCACAGATAAGAGCACATGCAAGTATCGGGATACATAGCAGATCGCGAGTAAGGTATCATGATGCGTATCGGATCGAGCTGTTGGTGTATCGTCCCAGCCCTAGTTCACAGGCATGTGAAAATCAGGTTCCATGCCATTACTTGTGCTTGATTCCCCAGATAAGCTAGTAAAATGCGCGATTAAATTGACCATTATCGAATTAATTTTGAGTTACTTGCGTAAAATGTGTGACAATACCCAGTGTAGTCTTTTCAGCTAAAACATCTTATAAACTAATTGAATGCAGCCTATACATGGACTCTGTAATTCAGTTTGAAGGATTCCCACTTTTCATAGTAGACATATATCACTATTGTGAGCTTATGCATCTTCCAGAGAAAACTTTTGCTCGATTTTGGTCAATTGCAGGATTTGCAAAGCATGTGTATTTGGTGTACCGACAACTCAGTGTTAACAGATGTTTCCAAATCTTTTCATGTTTTTTATCAAGGTGCTCATATAATTTGATGCACTTCGCGAAGTAAGACTAGTTTTATTACAAAATAGATGTTGTCTTGACTGGGCAACGCAATTTTTTTTTAAACAAATGCAAGTGATATGAGAGGATGAATCTGATTGGTCAGTAGGAGGGACGTAGAAGGGATATAACTCGTAATAGCCACTGGAGGCGCTACGAACAAGCCCAGTAATTCCAGCCTAGTTCGGCAAGGGTGGAAACTGGACTTTAACAGTCAGTCAACTCCCTTGAATAGGGAAGATGGAGCTTACGCAACATGTCACACACTTTAGCCAGTAGTCTATTAAAATTCTGTTTGGTCTAAAATGATCACCTAATACGACACCATATGATGTTAAATTGTAATGAAAATGATGCGACGAGTTTGGGCTAGTGGACTTAAAAGATTATGGCACAGACTATTTTAAACATTTTTGGCTGAATTGTGTTTAAAATAAGGTCTACACTGGTTTCAGCCTTCAGTTTGATGTGGTTTCCCTCCTGTGTTGTAGGGTAAGGCAGAGTCTCTGGTCCAGGCCCCGAACTTCAAACACCCTCAGAAGGTCCTGTTTGATGGTGAGTTGAACGCAGTGGACACACACTTCCAGGCCAAGAGCTTGCCCACTCTCCCATTCTTCCATTGACTTACTTCTTATTTCAGTATAGTTATAATATTTTTCATAAGTTTAAAGGTATTTTCAGCTATTTTTCTCAAAATATTAATGTAATTAGTATTTTATTGTAGTTGACAATGCTTATTGGATAAGCAAGGATATATCTATATAATGTAGTAACATAAATTGCATCATTGTTCGTGCCACAAATAAAAAAAATCAAGTACAGTTTCAACAAATATGCAATTCTAAGACAAGTGTAATGACTTGTACATATTATAATAGTTATTTGATAAAAGATAATTTAAAATGCTTTGGCTACCTACAATAATTTATTGGCTTGACTTCTTGATTTTACCACTGGCTACCTTGAAAAAAATACTTGTAGTGATATGGCTACTGGGTAAAAAATTAAACTTTGAGGCCTGTCAATCATATTGTTTTTAGCAATGCAGCAGTGTTACACCACATTGAGGTCAACTGCAGTATTTGGGTCCGCACTTTGGGCGGAAACAACTGCCTTCAGCAGCTTTGTTTAGATATAAGTGTGCACGCACCAGCATGCCGAAATCCGTCAGGAGGCATTTTTGAGCCAAAAGGACCCCAGAAAAGAGCTGGATGAGAAAAGTTTGGTCTAAAGCTCCACCTCTATGTTGACCGAGAGTTTTACGATAGAAAGTGAAGCCAAATTCTTGTGGTGTTGACTTTGTGTTGTATATGGGCGGGACACAAATGACGTTAGACGTCACATGTCTAATCATGTGATTTTCCTTATATGGTCTTGTTTCTACGAAAGCAACTATGCTCAGAGTGTTGAACTTGTAAATGTTCAGATGCTGGGGCTTGTACAAATAGTGAGTGAGTGAGTGAGTTGGGTTTAACGCCGCTTTTAACAGTATTCCAGTTATATCGCGGCGCGTCACCTTAATGTGGGAGGAAAGCCCGAAGTGATGCAGGTCTCAGACATTTACCACTTCAGTGAAACCCACGAGCACGGGTATGGTGCTGACAAACCTAGAAACATAATTGGGGCAAACCGGGATTCGAACCCAAAATCACAGGTTTCTGGCGTGCCCAAGGGACGCAACTCTGCAGAGCGATTTGGGTTGCCTTAGACGACTGGGCCACCCGTGCCCCTTTTGTACAAATAAATCTTGGAGAGCAGTGAAGGCATCTTTGCATAGGTATGGGATGAATAGGGGAATGTATGACAGTTATTTTGCTGAATACATTATCAGAAAAGAAATATTTCAGTTGTTCAGTTGATGCCTTTATTCCGTTTCTTAGTTCATCAGCAGTGTTTACAATCTGTAGAACTTAGAAGCAAAATGATCGTTTAAAAAAATGATGAAAGAGAAGCAGAAAAAGAAATTGAACTAGGTCTAGATGGATCCACATACCTATTTGACAGTAAAGACGAATTCATCGTCTCACATGACTTGTTTGAATGAGAAAGTATCAATAATCATTCTCCTATGAATATTCATATGTATTCATGAATGAACTTATACTGTCATGCGATTTGTTTGAAAAAAGGGGGTCTGCCCCCTTTACCTCGTATTTTACTTTTAAAAGGGGTGGTTGTACACACAGACACATTTAAGAATGAAGTTCAAGAAGGCCTTGCCATGACCCTAATCTTAAAAAGTTAGAAGTTAAGATTAAGTAATATAAAGGAGCAAACATCAGGGCCCGGGTCATCCAGGAAATTCTTCCAATAAGGCTTAAAAAAATTAAAGAATTTGTTCTCAGGCAATGGTGTTTGAAAACATAGTGCGGGTGTGCGGTTTCTTTTTTTCTTCTATTGGTTGTTCAAACTGGTATGTAAAACCAACAAACCAACAAATAGTTGTGTAACCAAAAAACAAGCTGTGTACGATGAACCTAGGAATGGGCCTCCCTACATAAATGTATTCCTTGATGAGTAAAATACTGGAATACAGTATTTGACTACCGTTGAACTTTGAATTATTAATGATTTTTTAAAAAAGGAAATAAAAACGAAACATGCGGCGAACTTTATGATAATGCAGGCAGTGCCTGAGAACCAAGACTGTTATTTTTTTTAGCCTAACACTCAATCTTTCAACCCTATTGCTCATTATTCCTATACAATACATTATGGCAATCTGACTCTAATCATGAATATGTATGATGCAGGTCATGTGATCCAGCTCTGCTCCAATCAGTGTGAAGGAACCCTTGGCCGACATTACCACTGTCCTCTGTGTGAGGAGAAGAAGTTTGAAGAGATGGGGTCATTGTCAGGTCACTTGTGGCGATGTCGGGAGATCAGTGGCTTGACGGAGAAGACATCTGTGAACCTGCCAGCAAAGAAGAACGTGGATGAATCGTGGAAGGCCAATATGGCTGTAAACACTAATGTGCCTCCGCCCAAAGAGAGATTCGGGGATAAGGTACATCTAAGCAACTAACAATCCCATTGATATCAGATCATTTGCGCTGATACGATACCTCTCTGCATGAACATGTGACAATACCTCCAGAGGAGGTCGCATCAGGTAAACTTTCTTATCAGACTGCTAAAGTTTTGGTATGAGAGTGAAACATTTGGACCGGCATTTCAGATTTCTGAATCTCAAAAACGAAATTAAAAGACGAGTTCTGTATGTAAATAATTAAGGTTACATGGTTGTGGATATGTTATAAACCATGTTGTTTCTGAGCCCCTTGGCATCTAGACTGGAGCTCCATCGAAGTAATATTTATGTTCTACGTGGGATTTTAGTTTAGGTGGTTACAAATGGTTTCAGAAATCTGAAATCTGATTGGCTCAAGAACCCAGATGTTCTTCATTTAGATTTACTTGCCGTGACCATCGTATCATCAGATCTTCATGCAGGGAGGTATCAGATCTGATTTTAAAGAGATTTAGCAAAATGTTCAAGAATTCAAAATGGTGATTGTCTGATGTATTTAGTATCACCTCAAATTTTTTATGATTAATTCAATCTACATATTCTCAGACAAGTGTTAGATTGGCTTAGATTATGATATATTTTTTATGCAGGTCTCAGACATTTACCACTTCTGTGAAACCCACGAGCGCGGGTGACAAACCTAGAAACAAAATCGTGGCAAACCGGGATTTGAACCCACAATCATAGGTTTCTGGCTTGTCTAAGGGATGCAACTCTGCACAGCAAGTCACATGGTCTTTGAGGTAGTCGCAGTCTACATAAACTGAGATGGGAGGTTTTGGAATGATTTTCAATTGGATGTTTCAGTGTCATGTCTGGTGTGTGTCATGTGAGTAATCTCCCCTTGCAACAGTGTAAGCAAGCTCCTCACAGCGATAGCCCGTTCGCGGAGCTCTCTATACTATCGCTGCCACCAGTCATAACTCCCCACTGTGATAGGTGGCCACAACCATGCTTGGGAGTTGAACTCGCAACCGACTGACCGTTATGTTTACAAACAAATGACGACTGTCGTGACGCCGAATACACTTATCGCTGCTAAATTGCTTTCTTTCTTTGTCAATTTGAATTTCTGTTTCATTACAACTATCATGTAATTGGTATAGTAAGAATGTAAGGGAGAAGTTGGTTGATTTTCTGTTAGTCTGCAATCTCGAACCAATCTGATTATTAAAACAACAAAGTAAATTCATTTGGAAAACATGGTCAGTCGTAAACCTTTTCAAACTGAAATATGATTGCATTCCCAAAGACATAAACAAAAATATAAACGTTACTACATTTGGGGTTAGAGGGCAAATTTCAAGATTCTTGTAATGGCCACGCCAACACTGGTGGAAGCAATGTTACCGAGAGTGTAACGAAGGTGTCATGCGCTGGGAAGGAGCTCGCAGTGTAAGGAGCTTGACTATCAAAGAGTAAAACCCTTACTGGGTTTACCATTACGGTAATAAGATGTTTCAGTGTCATGTCTAGTGTATGTCATATGAGTGGTCTCCCCTTGTAACAGTGTAAGGAGCTTGACTGTTGTCAGAGTTAGACCCTTTTTGAGTTTACTGTTCTCATGTTTCAGTGTCACATGTCTGTAGTGAGGAACTTGAGTGATCTCCCCTTTGAGAGGTGCAAAGACCAAGGCTGTTGTCGAAATCGTTTTCACTGTAATCTCTGTCCTTCATCGAAATTCAAGCCAGCGTTCCTCAGCCACATCCAGGAACACTACCTGAGTCACTGGAACAGCCGTGCTGTTTGCGGAGGTGAGGACTAAACTTGGTTAAGGAGATGTCTTTTTAGGGGTCGCAGGTTTGACAACAGATGTAACATAAACAATGCCATTGAATAATCATGTTCATTTGAAAAGCCTTGAAAAATTAGTTTTGAAAATATGCTTTGAGCAAAAGTTAATCAATCGATCAAGGTTAAAAAAAATATTCAGTAGCATGAACCAGGGAACCCAGCTTGTTGTAAGAGGCGACTTTGCTTGTCGTAAGAGGCGACTCACAGGATCAGGTGGTCACACTTGCTGACTTGGTTGATGCATGTCATCGATCCCAATTGCGTGGATCGATGCTCATGATGTCAATCACTGGATTGTCTGGTCCAGACTCGATTATTTACAGACCGCCGTCATATAGCTGGAGTATTGCTGTGTGTGGCGTAAAACAACAGCCTACCATTCAGTAGCATGAATTTTTTGCTCATATCAGAATTGTCACTGAGGGACAGTGAAGGTATGAAAGAACAAGGCATGAAAAGTCTGTCGACTACATCATGAGTATTTTGGAGTTGACAAAAATCATCTCCTGATCAGGTTTCCGAAAATATGTAAGTTTTTGGCATGGCTCTGTAGGTCAAGGTCACTTGTATAAGGTCAAGGTCACTTGAGGTCACACTATTGTTTTGGCTGCAGCCTACAGCTGTCTGGTGTGCTATCAGCCTTGCCTTCCCCGCTACGGCTCGTCTGTGTACCACTACCACTGCCCAGTGTGTGGGCAGTCTCGCAGGCGGAAAATACAGTTCATGAACCACTTGAGGGAGTGTTTGGGACCCAGTATCAAGACAGGTAGGTTTCAGGTAGGAATACACAATGCCATTTAGAAAGAAAGAAGAAAGTGTTATCTCAAATATAACATTTGTTACAGCTTTCGGCCATGGGAGCCGTGCCAATTTACAAAAAAAACTGAGGCTTGTCAGAGGGGTACACAAAGTATGTGATCCAGACTACCAGACTACCAGTTGTCAGGCTTTCATTTTGTGAAACCTCGGTGGCTGAGTGGGTTAGGTCGCTGACTTTGTGTGCTGGCGATTAGGTGCCTCACTCTGGCAGTGTTGGTTCGAATCCCGGATCCAAGATGGAACTCAGCCCCCAAAAGTACTAGAATCTGTACTTTACTAAGAAAGTGTTAACCCCAAACATAACATGTTACATTTGACCACTCTTTAAATGGCATTGTGTGTTCATACATTACAGTCCAGTTAAAAAAAATGACACAAATATTATCAGTGGAGCATTCGAGGTACATACGAGTTCTGTTTCCACTATGACAAACTGATGGTGAAAGGCAGTGGAACAAACAGACACAATTCTCCCCTACATGACGTAAGATGTTTTATCTTATTTATAAATCGAAATTATTTCAACACTTTCCGTGAATCTTAGGAAACGGACGTAAAATATTTCTGGCTAGCGTATTATTATGTACTTGAAATTGGGATTCTTAAATCATTGTTGAAGACCTGAATGTAGCGACCCTGGGCTGCTGTTGTGATGCGAGCTTCCCAGTGTTTCAATGAGATTTGTTAATTATTCATTGATCTTGCGTTTCTTTTGGAAATAACTGCATAACAAAAGTAAAAGCTTGTTAGTGATTTTAATGCTAGATAACCATTAGAGCTACATTACAGTATGTAACAAATGTTACATTTGGGATAACACTTTCTTAGTTAAGTACATATTCTAGTTGTCAGACTTTCATTTTTGTGGAAGCCTCGGTGGCTGAGTAGGTTTAGATCGCTGACTTTGTGTGCTGGCGATTAGGTGCCTCACTCTGGCAGTGTTGGTTCCAATCCCGGATGGGACTCAACCCAAAAAAGTATGAGAATCTGTCTCTTACTAAGACACATATAACATATAGAGAGATTATTAGCTGACAGTTTCTGTATCATAAATATCATATGTATCATGTAATAAAAGTTGTATTATACAAGCCTTTGTTGATATGATCTATGTGAAGACTTAACTTCCCCAAATGACGACAATGTTTCAGTGAACCGCAGTTACACAATTTATCCCATAGTGCCATCTTCATCTTTCCTATCACCAAGTACAGAATTCTCTCACATGTAGAGATTGTGGGTTCGAATCCCGGTTCGCCCCGATTATGTTTCTAGGTTTGTCAGCAGCATACCCGTGCTTGTGGGTTTCACCGAATTGGGAAACGTCTGAGAGCTGCATCACTTCAGGCTTTCCTCCCACATTAAGCTGACACGCAGCGATATAACTGTAATACTGTTAGAACGTTAAACCCAACTCACTCACTCACTCACTCACTCACTCACTCACTCACTCTCACATGTAGATGTGAAATCAACATCCATGTAGATGTGAAATCAACATCCACATAGATCTAATTTAAAAACTGATACATTTGATCAAATCAGGAGACTGTCATTAATGATCGTTCAGCTGTTTCCTGTGTATAGGGAGGAAAGTCCTATGCCATCTTTTGTTGCAAGTTGTGTGCTGGGGTAGCCTAGTGGTTATCAACATGGGTAGAATCTGCGAGGCCCATTTCTGGTGTCTCCTGCCGTGATATTGCCGAAATATTACTCACTCACTCGCACACCCAGTTGTATTGGAGGTGGTATGCAACAAAGACGAGTCGAGCACTAATGATTTCAGTCATGAAAGAACATGGTATATTGACTGGATGTCTGGTGTTTTAGCATTTCAACTTGGCTTGCAGGTGTTTTGGCAAACAAATCCACAGTATTTATCAAAATGGAATTGAGATATAATACCCTGGATAAGAAAACGTAAAACTTTATGGATAACAACTTCTGGTTTATTGGATTTATATGCCAGGCCCCATTCCACAAAGCGATGCTAGCACTACGACAGTCAAGTCTATGTTATAGTATGGGAGTTAATATGGTCTTAGCGCTACAATCGCTTTGTGGAACAGGGCCCAGAAATTGTTATCCATAAAGTTGTACGTTTTCTAAGTTGTTCACCAACGTCTCGAATGCTAATCTAACAGTTAATGCCCGGGATAATTGAGGGAGCCATCTTATTATGGGGGGCACCGGTGGCCCAGTCGTTTAAGGCACCGCGATTCCCTGTGCAGAATTGCATCCCTTGGGCACGCCAGAAAACTATGATTGTGGGTTCGAATCCTGTTTCGCCCCGATTATGTTTCTAGGTTTGTCAGCACCATCCCCATGCTCGTTGGTTTTACCCAAGTGGTAAACGTCTGAGACCTGCATCACTTCGGGCTTTCCTCCCACATTAAGCTGACATGCCATGATATAACTGGAATACTGTTACAGTAGCGTTACCCATGAAGATCCAGAGTGGAATAGGTCTTCAGCAACCCATGCTTGTCGTAAAAGGCGACTAAGGGGATCGGGTGTTCAGGCTCGCTGACTTGGTTGATGCATGTCATCGTATCCCATTTGCGTAGATGGATGCTCATGGTGTCAATCACTGGATTGTCTGGTCCAGACTTGATTATTTACAGACCGTCGTCAATTAGCTGGAATATTGCTGAGTGCAGCGTTAAACAAGAAACAAACAAATCGTCAAGCCCAACTCACTCACTCGCTCATATTATATGATGTTGTCTTCTGTCAGAATCCACGGAGACAGACATCCACGGAGGTGATGAGAAAGAAGAAACTGAGGATCCTCACCAGGATTTTGAAGGTCCTGGTGAAGCTGACTATGGAGAGGGGGAAGATAACTCTTCACTGGAGAAAACTGTTTCACATTCAGTAGAAGAGCCTGCTGTAACAGAGGATGATGGGAATGAGGATGTTTCCATGGAAACAAGTGAGCAGAAGACAAACAATGATCAGAAGAAAGCATTGGAGGTGTGATTTGATTACTTTGTTCCAGATGATTTTTGTCATAAATGAGGTGATGACATGGGATTTACGTTGCACTCAAGATTATTATATTTATATAGCGATGTGTGTGTGTTGGGGGTGGTTGGGTAGGGTGCTTATGCCAGTTTCATAGTGTTGGCCACAAGAGATACCATGCCGCAGTTTAACATGGATACCCCACACAGACATAGTATACTGACTCTGAGTCGACCAGTCCTTGTTTTAGCCCCTTAATGTCAAGCGCCAGGCAGGGTAACAACAAGTATATTTTCTATTGATATTTTTGGTGCTCTACCTTAAAGACCACGGATGCCGACCGCATGGTTAAATGGAGAGCTAGGTTTGTCAGCACCATAACCGTGCTCGTGAGTTTCACCGAAGTGGTAAACGTCTGAGATCTGCATCACCTCGGGCTTTCCTCCCACATTAAGCTGACACGTCGCGATATAACTGGAATACTGTTAAAAGCGGCGTTAAACCCAACTCACTCACTCACTCACTTATATGGAGAGTAAGCTCCAGCAACTTTGCAGTCCAAGCAAGTTTTAATGAAGTTATTTAAAACAAATTTTATTTGTCGCTAACTCAAATCGATGTATATCAGTGATCATGAAGACCCAATAAATGCTTGCCATGAAAGGTGACTATGCTTGTCGTAAGAGGCGACTAATGTGATCAGGTGGTCAGGCACGCTGACTTGATCGATGTATGTCATTGTATCCCAATTGTGCCATATGTCACATTTTTATGATAGTTTCTGGAATGATTTTGAAGTGGAATTACCCCTATCTCCATTCGAAAATAATTAGAAAAGAACCAATTTCTTTGTCCTTGACCCAACCTAAGTCGTATGGGCACTGATTATCCATATTCCAAAACAGGAAGTGATGTAAACCACATAATCCACACGTATCACACCACAAAATAGCCATACCATGAGACCCATGAAGATTCCAGGGAGGAATAGGTCTTCAGCAACCCATGCTTGTCGTAAGAGGCGACTAATGTGATCAGGTGGTCAGGCACGCTGACTTGGTTGATGCATGTCATCGTATCCCAATTGCGTGGATCGATGTTCATGATATCAATCACTGGATTGTCTGGTCCAGACTTGATTATTTACAGACTACTGTCATATGGCTGGAATATTGCTGAGTGTGGCATTGAACAACAAACAAACAGAGACACTGAAAACCTCATTCACTCGTTCACTCACTCACTCAACCATTGTATTCGTTGTCAGGTCTTCAACACAGTGTTGGCCATCTTGTCACCGGAGTTCATCACGTCCCTGGTGCATGATGGGCCTGTGGACGACTTGCTGAGGGCTGTTGCTATGGAGACCGGTGTGGAATGGTTGTCCTCTCCAGGTGTCAACAGCAGCCCTGTCTACTCCATCAGCGGAGACCTGGACAGCATCTTCAAAGCCAAACAGATGTTGAGACAGGTTTGAATGTCATTTGCTCTTCCTCAGTCCATGAGTGAGTGAGTTCACGGACAACTGTAGTGGTATACACATGGTTAACAAAGAATCATTGCAGTGTATGACTGTAGGTCAAAAACATCTCAAAATGTTATGAAGTTTGTTGTACCTGAACGGAGAATAGTGAGATAATGTTCTTAAGAATTGCAGTCTTTTAGACTTGTAACTTAATCATGTCTGGGGGCGGTCGGGTAGCCTTGCGGTTAACGTGTTCGCTTGTCAAGCAGAAGACCTGGTTCGATTCCCGACATGGGTACAATGTGTGAAGCCCATTTCTGGTGACCCCGCCATGATATTGCTGAAATATTGCTAAAAGCGGCGTAAAACCAAACTCACTCACTCACTCACTCACTCACTCACTCACTCACTCACTCACTCACTCACTCACTCACTCACTCACTCACTCACTCACTCACTCATTCATAATTTTGATTTTGTTTACAGAATCTACCCGAGTCTCTACTGAAGTCGCTCCAAGGGACCCCGACATACAGTGTAAATGGTAAGTAGTTCTTTAGGGGAGAGGTATGGTGGCACTGTGGGTTAAGGCACTGGAGTTTTCTGTCCAGAGTTGTGTCCCTTTCCAATTCCGGAATATGGATGAATGCGGACCCTGTAGGGATTTAAGGATATAGTTGGTCCCCAGCGACCTATGCTTGTCGTACATGGCGACTTTGTGGATTTGGGCAGTCTCAGTGACTTGGCTGATAGCATGTTGTCATATCACGATGGTTAGGATCGTTGTTCAGAATATCAATCACTGTTTTGTCTGGTCCAGACACATAGTTTTTGCGAGCCACTGTCATATAGCTGGAATACTGTTGGGCGTTAAACATGAAATACACACACACTAAATGTAGGAAGTGTCCTATTACTGCTCAGACTAAGGTCCCTGGTTTGTTTGGGGTAGCCTAGTGGTTAAAGCGGATGCTCGTCATGCCGAAGACCCGGGTTCGATTCTCCACTTGGGTACAATGTGTGAAGCCCATTTCTTGTGTCCCTGTGGAATATTGCTAAAAGCGGCGTAAAACCATACTCACTCACTCACTACACTGTCATTTCAAACAATGTATATCAATGAGCAGAATTATTAACCTTAATCCTTTTTCTAGTAAGACACTTGTGACGGATAAGGTTTTATATCTTAAGCTGAAACTGATGCTTTGCAACCTAAGCTCCACATAATATAGAAAATATACTACTCTATGTTAAGGACATAGATTAACTATAGTCATTTGTTTCTTTGTTGTTAAACGTCGCACCCAGCAATATTCCAGCTATATGATGGCATTCTGTAAATAATCAAGTCTGTACCAGAGAATCCAGTGATTGACATCATGAGCATCGATCCATGCAATTGGGATACGATGACATGTATCAACCAAGTCAGTGAGCCTTTAGTCGCCTCTTGCGCTTTTAGCAATATTCCAGCGATATACCATCTGACATGAATGGACGGTGTTTGAAACTGAACCCAAGTCTTCAGTGTGATGACTGAATCATTTAGCCACCAGGTCACCCCACTGCCTGCCTGCTTTAGAAACCGACAACGACATGGAGATATTTAATTGTCTTAAATGTGGCGCCAAAATGAATTTATTTCGTTTTCAGAAAGGTTCCTACAAACAAAACTGTATAACATGACAGGCTTTTGAATTGATAGGGTTGAGAGTTACCAATTTTATATGTGTTGTATGGGTGGAAAATGTTTGTTTGTAATGATACATTTTGTGGAATTTGAATTTTGTTGAAACGAAATATTGATATCAGTGATGGCGAGGCCAAACGACCCAGCCTCATAAACATTGGGATGTAATATGAAGGTTTATTGTAACTTGAATTGTTTGATAGGCATTACTTTGAAGTTGGCAGATGACAAAGTATATTTATGGATAACAACTACTTTATTTTCTGTAAAGGCGACGTTTCGGTATAGATCCTTATACTGTTGTAAGTTGCTTGAGCTGATGTGAAAAAACATTTGGCCATTTTTGGAAAAATCTAATTCTAAAACAATCAAATCCATTCTTTACAGATACATCAGCCAACATTCCAGCTATATCACCAAGCATTCCTGATACGGCCTCACACCCAAGTGAGTCAGAACACAGGCGTCATTCACAGAGTGACACGCCACGTAACCAAGGCGCCCCTCCTGTGTCCATTGGCGCCCACAGTGCCACCTCAAGTGAGCTACAGTACATTCAAGCAGAACATTCATCAGGAGCCCCTTCAAGTGCGACTGGAACCCTACATGCTACCAATCCCCATCACAGATCCTCGAGGAGCACTCAGGCTGACATCAAAGACCTCTACAGTGACTTTGGGGATCAAGTGGTCGTCAAGCAAGAGATTCCCAGGAAGGAGCTGCTGATTAATGCTTTGGAAATGTTGTCTTCAGCTGTGGAGATTGTGAAGAAGAAGGAGGAGAGTGAGATGGCACAAGAGGAAGAGTGTCAGATGGCAAGCGAGGAACACGGTCAGACAGCACAAGAGGAACACGGTCAGACGGCACAAGAGGAACACGGTCAGACGGCACAAGAGGAACAGGGTCAGACGGCACAAGAGGAACAGGGTCAGATGGCACAAGGGAAAGTTCAGACGATGCAGGAGGCTAACTCTGCCGGCAATCAGGATGTTGATGTGATTGAAACTCGGAGGACAAGGAAGAGAGGACATGGTGACATTTCTTCTTCAGAGACAGTGACCAGAACAAGTAAAAGAAAACGCTCTTCTTCTGCTCGGGAAAACAGGGGAGGAATGAGACGTGAATCCCCTCCCCCTTTTGCTGAAGCTCCCCATACTTCAGGCTCAGACAAACAAATATCTCCTGAATCAATTCGGGAACCTACTGCGGAGACTGTCAGGAAATCTGGTGGAAGACCCAGAGGAAGACCCAGAGGAAGCAAAGGCAAGACTATCGAGAAACAGGATAAAGTCAGCGCACCAGTCGTAAAAAGATATTCTACGCGGGGACATAAAGTAGACTTCTCGCTTCTCGCTACAGGAAAGAAAAGGAAGGAAGAGAAACCTAAACCACAGATTCCATCACCAGGCTGTTCTCAGACCCAGACACAGAAGAGGAAAAAGAAGGGGATTCCAGAAGCTCAGGAAATCGCTGTACAAGAGCAGGAAGGGTCCAGGACAAAGGGGAGAGAGAGAGAAAAGGATTTGCATCCGTCCAGAATGGAAAATGAGACCTCCCATTCCGTCTGTTCCTCAGAAACCTGCTCGTCTGTCATTTCATCAAAATTTAGGATGCAGGAGAAAGAGGGAGGCGAGAGGGAGGAGGAGGAAGAAGGGAGAGAGACTATTCACGAGCCAAGGGTTGAACAGGAGACCTCTTCATCTGTCTGTTCATCAGATGCTATGATACAAAGGAAAGAGGGTATGGAAGGGAGGGAGGATTGTCTTCAGGCTAGGCTTGAACATGACACCTCTCCATCTGTCTGTTCTTCAGAGTCTTGGACACAGACAGTAGAGGAGATGGAAGTGTCTGATGATGAAGGAGAATCTGGCGATGACGATCCTGATGACCAGGAAGCGACTTCATCTCGAGCTTCTTATAAACTGGTGTACAGCAGCATGGCGGTCGTGCCTGTGGTAACCTTCAACATGCAGTCTCAGAGCATGTCCAAGCAACTCATTGGAAGCAGTGTCAAGAAGTCCTGTAACACAGAGGCTGCAGCTGTGAGAGAGAAGGGCAAGGACTTGAAAGGGTTTGGATGTCCTGTGTGTGAGTTTCAATCTGATTCCTTCCTCAGCGTTGTGGGCCATTGTTCCGAAAAGCACGGGATTGACGAGGGTCTTCACTGTGATGACTGCATGGTCCTGTGTCTGGACGAAGAGACCAAGTCTGCTCATGGGGAATCCTGCCAAAAAGGGAAGCAGACTGATTCTGAGAGCAAACTCCAGAGGTGTCCACAGTGTCATTACACGTCTCGGGACTTTGTAGATGTCTCGGACCATATAATTTCCGAGCATGACGTTGAGCGTCTTCGATGTGATGTCTGCGAGAGAGTGTTCAGCCAGCACAAAGCGATGGACATTCACCTGTCCCTGAAACACGGCCCTCGTCAAAGGACAAGTTCTCAGTTTGAAAAACCTTTAACCAAGTGCCCACTGTGTTCAGTTGATGAAGGCAACTTCCAGGCACTGTCTTCTCATCTGATGTCAGAACATCATGTCACCAATCCATTGCGTTGTGACGTCTGTGAAAGAGTATTTGACAGTGATTCACATCTTGAGTCTCATCTAAACAGTCACCATGGACCTTTTGAGGAAGGGTTAATTTCCAACAGATGCTCTGAATGTGGACTGGTATGTAAAAGTAAGACATCCTTAATTCAACACCAAGTGTACATCCACAGAAAGAAGTTCAAAAAGTCAAGACAATCAGCCTGTTTGGAGTGTAAGACTTGCTACTTCATTGCAAAGACTGTCGAGGAAATCCGAGAACACCGCTTGCAGCACAAATTAGGAGTTCTCGAGTGTAAAGAATGTAATATGACCTTCAACTCGACCTCTAACCTTCAGTTTCATATGCAGCTACACCATAAGAAATCTCATACTGCCTCTTGTGATATTTGTGGGAAGGTGTTCAAACATAAACGATATCTCATTGGTCACCGTAAACGTCATTTTGGAACCAAGAATTTCAACTGTAATGAATGTGGAAAAGCCTTTTACGAGAAATGCACCCTCAAGGCCCATGAGCAGATTCACCTGGAATCTAGCGATAGGGAGTACCGATTCGTGTGTCCATTTTGCGGCAATCGTTACACAAGCAAAAGCAACTTCAATGATCACTTAAACAAACACACTGGGGAAAAGCCACATAAATGCACCCAATGTGACAAATCATTCGGGTTCCGTAGCCAGCTTGCCCAACACAAGATCTTTGTGCATTCCACTGACCGACCTTTCAAATGTAAAGAATGCAACAAAGGGTTTAAACTGGCTTCGAAGCTGCAGCAGCATATGATTGGCCACACTGGAACCAGCAAACACATGTGTCACAGATGCAATCAGGCATATTGTTCATCCGCAACACTGAGGATCCATCAACAGAAGTGTCGAGGAGCAGTCGTGAAAAAACGGCCATTGGCTTCTCAAGTTTCGTTAGAGCCCAATGTCATTGCAGTGTCTGAATCGGAGGTTCACATGGCGGTCATGAATTCCTTTGTTGTCATGAACAACTCCAGCAGTGACCTTGACCCCCAGTTGGACTGTAGTAGCCAGGAGCAGCAGACGGAGATCTATCTGTGTAGCGTGTGTCAGATCGGGTTTTCGAGGTTCGAGGACGCAGAGCATCATATCAACACCGAGCACGAGGAGATGGGAGAGGAGGAAGAGAGTGTTGTTATGGTGGAGGAGGAGAGCATTCAAGAGGATGTCATGGTGGATCCGACAATACAACTGACCGAGATAAACTTGGCAGCAGCAGACACGATGTCTGAAACAAACACAAGTCATGTTGTCTATCAGAATTAGTCATAATTTGGGGTCAGTGAATGTGTAAGGCCTTAGTGAATTATTAGATATTCATGAATAGGTGATGAGGTGATGTGTCCATATGTAGCAGTAATCCGTGCATATTATTCTATGTGATGGCACACTCTCTGGCAAGGGTATAGGTCATGAATGGGATGGAACTTCTTGGAACCCCTGGATTTGTCTGTTTGAGGTGGCAAAATTAGGAAGATTAACCCCTGCCCATCTAAACGCTCTAAAATTTCATTTATTGCATTGATAACACTAGCAATCATATGATATATTCTTGATTCCTGTCATATTTTACCATTATGAAACTAAAATGAAAACGCTGTACATTCAAGTATACCCAAGTATATCGAGTCTGCACTTGTATATACCATCTAAGGCAAGGGAGTTTACTGACTATAACAGTCCAGTTTCCAACCTTGCCAAACTAGACTGGAATTTCAGAGTTATTTTTTGGCTGGACTGATCAATCTATGCATAGTCCAATAAAAATCGTGCAACAAAATCGACATCCGGTGTGTAAACAAGATGGTGACTACTGTGCCGATTTGCAGAGCTTGCAAAGCATGTTTTCTGTCAACTGGGTGTTGACTGATATTTGCCAAATCTCTTCATGTTTTAGTCACAGTGTTAAAGTGATTTGATTGTACTTTGTGAGGTAAGACCTGTTTTATGACAATATAGATCTTCATTATTGATCAGATCATCTTGACTGGTTGTCGCTATTTTGTTTCAAGCATTTGCAAGCGATATAACAGGTGAAATCTGATTGGTCAATAGGAGGGACAGAGAAGGGACATAAATCGTAATAGCCACTAGTGGCACTATGATCGAACCACAATATTCCAGCAGGGTTCGGCAAGCGTGGAGACCGGACTTTTGTGGTCAGTTAACCTCAGGAAGATGGTACCGTCTCGTAACCCGGTCATGTGATCCGGTGCCGTTATCAAAGCCCCATGCATCCTCCTCTCATTGCTCATCCATTAACTGCAAGGATGTTTGTTCAGACTGCTAACTCAGCAACATGTGGGTAATTCACAGATACTCAAGTGCATTGTCTAGACTTGAGATGATCCCAGTATACACATGAGTGTGTTACAATCATCCAGGGACGGTCGGGTAGCCTAGTGGTTAAAGCGTTCCCTCGTCACGCCGAAGACCCGGGATCGATTCCCGACATGGGTACAATGTGTGAAGCCCATTTCTGGTGTCCCCCGCCGTGATATTGCTGGAATATTGCTAAAAGCGGTGTAAAACCATACTCACTCACTCACTACAATCATCCAGGTTGCATTGTGACCCATGAAGTTCCGGGGTAGAATAGGTGTTCAGCAACCCATGCTTGCTGTAAAAGGCGACTGCTTGTCGTAAGAGGCGACTAACGGGATCGGGTGCTCAGGCTCGCTGACTTGGTTGATGCATGTCATCGTACCCCTGTTGTGTGGATCGCTGCTCAAGATGTCAATCACTGGATTGTCTCGTCCAGATTCGATTATTTACAGACCGACGTCATATAGCTGGAATTTTGCTGAGTGCGGCATTAAACATCAAATAAACAAAACAAATAAACAGTTGCATTGCAGTGTAACCTGTGCCCACATGACCCCAAACTGCAATTATGTTAACATTAATTAGTTGAGCACAGAAATAATTTGTTTGTTTCTGAAGGCATGTCGGATAATTTTGTCCAGTTGTTTCACATGGTTAATTGTAAATATCTCTGACATTTAATGAAAATGTTCCTTGTTGATATTTATTGTTGAAGAGGGTCACCTTTATATCGACCATCTCAGATCATATCTTGTGCTTTGGGTAAAATGTCTAAATTCTTGTTACAAAGTAATTCTTCATCCTCATGTATTGAATAAACTTGTTACCAAAGAAATTGTTAATTCTTGAACCAGAGGCTGATGATGAGCAACTATCCATCAAAAGCAGACAATGAGTCAAGATTAGGAATTGTTCATGACATTAATAATTTTGTTTCTTTAACGCCACACTCCTGCCACACTAGCTTCCTGCAACCAGTTCATACAGGGTCCACATTTAGTGGAGCCTGGAATCGCAAAGGGACACAACTCTGCACAGAAACTTTAGTGCCATACATCACTTGTCTGCGCACAAATAATTCTCGCCAAATGAATTCACTGACTGTTCACACATGAGAAGATCCGGGGCAGAATAATTCTTCAGCAACCCATGCTTGCCGTAAAAGGCGACTATGAGCGTCGTAAGGGTGGACAAGCTCACTTACTTGGTTGATGCATTTCATCGTATCCCAATTGCCCAGATTGATGCTCATTATGTCAATCACTGGATTGTCTGGTCCAGGCTTGATTATTTACAAACCGCCATCATATAGCTGGAATATTGCTGATTGTGGTGTTAAACAACAACAAACAACATATGACTGGAATTCTGACTGATCAAGATCTATCAGAATCAAAGCTGTCTCAACATCTGTTTGGCTTTGAAGATGCTGTCCAGGTCTCTGCTGATGGAGTAGACAGGGCTGCTGTTGACACCTGGAGAGGACAACCATTTAACACCGGTCTCCATAGCAACATCCTTCAGCAACCAATTGTAACCCGGATTCAATTTGTGTGCTGTGCACTGCGTATTCAGACATGACCTACAAACAAGCATGTACATCAAATTTGCTACAATTGTTCAAATGGGCTTTCATGTCTTGTTCAAGATTATTGCATGTGTGTGTGCGTTCATGTACAAGTCTGGACTAATGCCGGTTTAATAGTGATTGCCCACCCAGAAACCATTCTGCAGTTTAACATTGGAGTACCCCACTCCAACACGTATAAGTTTTGTCCCCCAACTGCCAGACAGGGCAACAAGTACCATCTTTTAACGTCTTTTGGTATAACATGGCCGGGCATTGATCCTCCTGCCATCCAGTGAGATGCTAGACCCCGGAGGTGGCTCAGATCTAGTTAATTTATCATGTTTATAGTCAACTTGGCCTAGGGAAGTTCAACCGCCTCTGTGGTCTAGAGGTAGAGCGTCCGCCCGGAGAGCGGAAGGTCCGTGGTTCGATCCCCGGCCGCGTCATACCAAAAGATGTTAAAAGATGGTACTTGTTGTTACCCTGTCTGGCGCTCGGCATTAAGGGGCTAAAACAAGGACTGGTCAGTATACTGTGTCTGAGTGGGGTATTCATGTTAAACTGAGGCATGGTATCTCAGTGAACTAGCACTATAAATCGGCATCAGTCCGGACTAGTACAAGCAGCCACACAAACACACACACGTACATGCACATCGCTATATAAATGCAATAATCTTAGACGCGACGTTAAACCCCATTTCACCTCACCTAGGGAAGTTCAAAGTAATGTTGGTCGGAGATGTACGTCCATGATGAAAGCAAGGAGCACGGATATGGTGCTGCCAAACCAAGGATCATAATCAGTGCATCTGAACCCAGGAGGATCCTGTCAGCTAAGGGACACAACTCTGCACAGCAAGTTGCAGTGTCTCAGACAACAAGACCACAGACCTCAGATCTGGTTAGAGGTTTGTCCATCATTTCATAATAATTCAACAATGAGACGGCAAAACACAACATAATTATTAACAGTTTATTAGAAATCTCTGAAAATCAAAGGGATACATTAAAGATTTTACAGAAAAGTTGTCATCAAGACAGATTAAATTACATAACATAGCTACATATTCTCTTGAACTCATCGGTCTCAGGATGATTTTCATAGAAAAAGCCTACACAAATAAGATGTAAGATTTGATATTACAAATACTATTAAATAACTCAATAAATTAAAACTTCTAAACAAATCAAACACGTATTGATATTCAAAAATTCAAACTGACATTTGCATAATCACTTGCATAAGAAAATCATCACTACTTAAAACCAAGGGTGGATCCAGCATTTTCAGAAGAGAGGGGTCTAAAATATCAAAATCCTCTCTCAGTCAATTTAACTGTCTACAACACACGACATTCGGTTTTCAGGACCCCTCTCTTGATCCGCCTGTGAACAGTTATTTCAAAATCTATTTTTATTGCTGAGAAATGCTGTAACCACAAGGGCAATAAAGAAAATATTTGATCAAGTTTATACTGGTTTTCATCCAGATACAAACAGACAAGATCTACAACTACAATAATGAAAATTCATGAATTCAAATTGCTCTCACGGCTAAATGTTTATTTTGTGAAACCAACAAAATATGTAGAACGGCCATTATCCATCATACACAGACTGTAGGACTGTTCAGTTGAACAGTATTGAAAATATGAAGGCACATGCAGGTGATAACTGCTGTTATGAACGATTCATATCAGCTGGTGAAAAAGAGTTGGCTCCCTTAGATTCCTGATAATATCTTCATTTGAGTGAGTTAGTTGGGTTTAACGTTGCTTTTAACAGTATTCCAGTTATATCACGGCCGTCAGCTTAATTTGGGAGGAAAGCCCGAAGTGATGCAGGTCTCAGACGTTTACCACTTCGGTGAAACCCAGGAGCACGGGTATGGTGCTGACAAACCTAGAAACATAATCGGGGCGAACTGGGATTTGAACCCACAATCATAGGTTTCTGGCGTGCCCAAGGGACGCAACTCTGCACAGCGAATCGCGGCGCCTTTGGTGACTGAGCCACCCGTGACCCCATCTTCATATGAAGAAGGTACAGATGCGGATGCAGTTTTTGCAGATTGTTACATCAACTTGATCAGTGATAAACATCAAGTTTCTAAAGTTCAACTTCAGTGTCTGAAACTCAGCAGAGTAAACTGAGAACCGTAAAGGCCAGCACATTTAAGAAACCTTAGGCCCTGTGATGAAACAGAGACATGCTCTGGCAATATAAACTGCAAAACACAACCAGTCAACCAGTTACTGCTATCACACCGAGTTCCCACAGACGCAGTGGTGATAGATGAAGCCTACATTTATCAGGAAATTATCAGCCTGTAAAACATCTTTGCAACTACATATCATACACCATTTCAAAGGTCTAATCCTACCGTTTATAAATATGAGAGTTATGTTTATTACATTACTTAAAAAATGCTTATGAATAATTACTTTAATACACTGCAGGCTGTAAGGGCCTGCTGAAATATAAAACTATCAGCCTGAGAACAAACTCGGGCCTATGGGCCGATGTCAATTTTGAACACTGGTATAAATATATTTTGTTTATTGCGTTATTAGGGTAAAAAGCTTTGATATGACCTTGACCTTCTATTTGGACAGTGTGGTACAAAACACTTCCTTTCATGGTATTCCTGAATTCGTTTTACATCCACTTTGGTGACAAACCTCGAAACATCAACAGGGCGATTCTTGGATTCGAAGCCATGATATAGATCCTGTATGCGCTAAGGGACACAACTCATTGAACAGGGTTCAATTCATGCACTTTGTGCAGACACGCCCTTATAACATTTACACAGACGGATTTGCATACTGACAGTGAGTCTATTATTCGTTGTACATCAATTGTGCCAGGTATACAAACGAGTATTGTCAACGTCACACTGAGAAGTTCTGCAACAGATCATCACATAATTTCACTGGTTTCATAGCTAGGAAAACACGAATTGACATAGGTAACCAAAAGTTACGAAACCAAGAACACGAGTATTCTGCTGACATACTAAAAATCCCCATTGGGGCCACTTTGGCTTTAAGCCAATGATCAGCAGTTCCTGGCACACCAAAGGGACACAACTGAGCAGCGACCCACAACCCCTCAGATCACTGGTAATACGGCATGTGATATTCAGGTCTGTGAAATGTACATATCAAATCAGGGCAAGGTAACACCAATAACAACTAAAACTACAATTTAACGACTAACAAGTAATTACATACTTGACAATCACATCTAACAACAGATGCCATCGTATGCAAGAGCTGCATTTGATGAACAAATCAATATTGCTCTTTAACAGTTCCAGCTGAAGACTGTGAGTTCTTACCCTTGTATAATATTAGTAAAAATGGATATTGTGAGGTTTGTACTGTTGGATTATATTGCGGTGAGTTTTACGCCGCTTTTAGCAATATTCCAGCAATATCATGGCAGGGGACACCAGAAATGGGCTTCACACATCGTACCCATGTCGGGAATCGAACCCGGGACTTCGGCGTGACGAGCGAACGCTTTAACCACAAGGCTACCTGATCGCCCCAGAGTATACTGCCAAGAATTGGCATCACACTGAAACTTTGCTTGGAACAGAACCTGAGTCTTTGGTATTACCCCTTTAACCCTGACCCCCATGGATGGGTGAGTGAGTGAGTATGGTTTTACGCCGCTTTTAGCAATATTCCAGCAATATCACGGCGGGGGACACCAGAAATGGGCTTCATTGTACCCGTGTGGGGAATCGAATCTGGTCGTCGGCATGACGACCAAACGCTTTAACCAGTTGGCTACCCCTCCAAAGAAACAATTCAATTTTACTAATGCTCGGAGGCCCATTCCACAAAGCGATCAGCGCTACAATGATCGTAGGTCTATATTGAAGTGTGGGAGTTACGATCAGCTTAGCACTAAGATCACTTTGTAGAATGGTTCCACAAAGCAATCTTAGCACTATGACTATTGTATGTCTGTGTTAAAGTATGGGAGATATGATCCTCTTAGCACTAAGATCACTTTGTGGTATTGTTCCACAAAGCAATCTTAGCACTGTGACTGTTGTATGTCTGTGTTAACGTATGGGAGATATGATCCTCTTAGTGCTAATATCACTTTGTGGAACAGTGCCCGGGGCTCCGTTCTACAAACGGTTCTTAAAAATGATGATAACTCCCACACCATTAGGCATACAAGGACAAATTATCTCTTTCCAGTTTTCCATCTGCCCACAAATATCAATCGGTCAGCCACTAAGTCAATCAATATAAAAATATTGCTTATTGATGAATCAATATTTTTGCAGACCTCTATTCCTAGGGAACGATTATCATAAACAAGATGTTTTTGATTTCCAATTAACAATAACAAGTGACTAAAAACACACAATGAAAACACAATTAAATCACACAGATTTCAACACATGTAAACCTTGGAATGTCAGATTAATTCACTGGTACCTCCAAACCTTCTATTGCCAAGTAAAAAATTCAAACCCAGACTAGCAGATCCTGGCTTTGCTCAGGTGCAGTATTGTGACAAAGCAGCATGTCAAGTGAAAAATTAACGGGTTACCAGAGACATATAAAATAATAAACTCGCTCCCGTGTAATACCAATTTTAAGAAACAAGTGAACAGTTCTGGTATCTGACGAGCTATTCACGAGTTGCATAAACTTGTTATTACACGGGGGCGAGTTTAGTATTATATTTATTGCTTGCCGTTTAAACCTTTTTTTAGAATTTCAAAGTCGTGCATAAATATAGGCAGACATCTACGTGATCCACAGCATAATCCAATTGAGTTTAACAAAACAATACTTCAAACAGGCTTCTACCTGAGATATTGCTTTGGTGAGATCATAATATCTCCCAGGAGATATCAGTACAATGAAATTGCATCACAATACTGAGCAGGCCATTGTGATGTCATCGGTTAACATGACATCATTATCAAATGACATCATTAATCTCTCTGCCACTGAAGCTCGTGAGCTGTACTTTTCACTCTTTTACACTCATGATAAGGTTATCACTGTCCACAAACTTTGGCATGATTTGAGATGGTGATTAGAATCTCACCCTCGGACTTTCAACTTTTATGACTTATGTCTATTTGATATCAAAAGACACGTGTGAGATTCTCTAAATGTGACCAATCAGGAGAAAAGGGATGCGAGAATACAATTACCGTATTTGACGTAATAAGCGCCCAGGGCGCTCTCAAAATTAGAAATAGGGGGCTCTTATAAGAATATTATTTTGGTGAAAAAAATCAGAGTTAAAAGATCGTAGATTTCGTGGTTTATGCTGACAGCTTGAAATGTTTATATACAACAGATATATTTTTCCAGGACTTAAATGCCCATAATTAAGGGTACATATAACACACGAGTGAGTTTTATACACGAATAAATAAGTCTTGTGTACATTGATCAATCGGAAGGGGTGCTATTTGAGATTGTTCACTAGCCAATATATTAGCAAATATCGCCGTGGGCGCTTATTAGAGCGGGGCGCTTATTAGAGCGGGGCGCTTATTACGTCGAATACGGTATGCTATGATGTCATAAAGACGTTTGACGTCAACTTACTTCAGTGAAGATTGATATGTGTGATGTCATGTGTCTCTGTAATAAATATAAATTGAAGCTTGTGAATTGTATTTTTGTGTTCCAAAGATGCCGTAGTTCTAAAATATAATGAAAAGTCAAAACGTGATTTTTCACCCATATGGCCCTTTGTCTCATGGTCGGTCACGAATATCGGTTTGTCACACAGACACAAACTGCAGTGTTAGAACACGCAGACAAAAAAACCCTCAAGAACACAAATACATACAGTGACATTCAAATGTTGCAAGACGCAAACAAAGATATGTCCAAATATGGAACATAAAAAAACAGAATGAATGAGGCATGTGTCCACAGGTATAACAGCGCCCCCTAGTGTCTACTCCTTCTTGTCGACATTCTCGACTTGCTTGATGATCTTGGATGTGACCTCCTTCCCATGAGTCAAGAGCTTCTGGGGCAGCAGTGACATGAACACTTTAACCTACGGCAGACAGACGATAATTGCATCAAAATTAAATATGGACTTTTTTTAGCAGTTTATTTACAAACCTTTTCTCAAAACTGGGGACAGTATGGGTGTTCATTCGGCTTAAAAATACATCATTAAAAATAAAGGTCATCAGTGTGAAATAATAGTCACATGTCATGACTGAGCATTCCATACTGTGATAAATGAATACATCTTTATAATTTGTAGTGCATCACATGTATGTAGTACTATTTACCATATAAACAGTGGAATAAACCAAATTTAACTGTGTTGTATAGTCTGGAAGGTAATTTAAGGTACCGACGTTTACTACAATATCTGAAAAACTATCGAACCTACTCCAGTCAAAGTTGGTATGAGATTATTAAACAGTCATACATAACTGGATATTACATTTAAAGACAATCGGTGCATGAATAAAAAATCTGTCTATTTAGCTATCACTATATTTCATCAACAACCAGACCTGTTCGTCACGGGTGGAACGAGCATGCACTGAAACAGCCATCTACATAATGCTACCCCTGCGTCACAGGGCCATATGACACAGTTGAACCAATCAACTCAACACAAAAGGGTGCACGGGAATCACGCACGTTGACACCGTAATCGTGCGTGCGTGATTCCCGTGCACCCTTTCGAGTTGAGTTGATTTGTTCAACTGTGTAATATCCAGTTATGTAAGACTGTTTAATAATCTCATACCAACTTTGACTGGAGTAGGTCCGATAGTTTTTCAGATATTGTAGTAAATGTCAGTACCTTAAATTACCTTCCAGACTATACATATTGCAGCACGATATGGCATTTTGTGTTTTGGTGTCTTCATCATCATCATCATCATCATCATCATCATCATCATCATCATCATCATCCATTTATATTTATGTGCATATTTCCACACCACACCAGTGCATGCTCAATAGTTAGATTGTCTGGTCCAGACTCGATTATGTACAGAACGCTGTCATAAAACTGGAATATTGCTCCGTGTGGCGTTAAACTAAAAAAAAAGAAAAAAGTATTCAACATTATTGTTTTTTGTAAACATTGATGGGACGTAAAGTGTTGCTAGTCCAGGTAAGACAGGTGATTTTTCTGTTTGGATTCAGTTACAGTTTACTTTTAAAAGTTGAACAGTTCGTCTCCACCTGGTGTACGTCTTCAATTCCCGACCTACAGACTGAGAAGCACTAAATGGGCATAGAATGGAATACAAATATGTTTTCAGGTGAACTCAAATTTCCTATTCATCACTGCATGGTAACTATACATCCAGAGATTATTAATTTTTTTATCAGTTTGTACAAGGAGACAACAAGGGGAGTGATAATATACAAAGGGAGATAAGTACTTAAACAGAGGAAATAACACTGTTTATCATCCAAAACAGGAGGCACATGAGATATATCGCTTGGGCGGGATCAAGCGATATCAACATTGTCGGTATCGCTGCAATGAAATTGCTTCACAATGCTTTGCAGACCATTGTGATGTCATTGGTTACCATGACGTCACAATCAAATGACATCACTAATGGCTCTGCTACTGAAGCTGTTAGCAGTACTTTTTACACTTAAGACACTGCTTATTACTGTCTACAAACTGAAAAAGTTTGAAGAATGATGTTGGATGATAAATAAAATCTCGCCCTTGTGTCTTTTGACATCAAATATATATCAACACTTGTTGATAAAAGTGGAAAAAAACAGCTCGACAAGCCACAGAGTTTTTCCACTTTTATCAACTCATGTTGATAAATTTGATATCAAAAGACACTCGGGTGAGATTCTCCGTATAACTCCCACTGACCTGGTCGGGGGGCAGCAGGGTGTGGAAGTGGGCTGGCAGACGGGAACGCTTCAGGTTCTCCGCCTTGAGGATCTCCTCCAGAATCACCAGGTAGTTGTTCCTGTTCATGAACTGACCAGACACAGCGATGGTCTCCTCTACATTGTAGGCCTGCAATACAGAGGGATGGATGGATGGAAAGATTTATGGATGGATGGATGGACTGATGGATGGACAGATTGATGGATGAATGGATGGATGGAAAGATTGATGGATGGATGGACGGATGGATGAACAAAATGAAGGACGGACGGACGGACTGATTGATGGATGGACGGACGGAGGGTCCTTCGATTGAGGGAGGGAGGGGGAGAGAAAGGGTACAAATATAACAGTTACAATAGAAATTCTTAAATTCTGGCCTTCACCGAATTATTTGCACACCGCCGCCACATAGCTGGAATATTATTGTGTTTGGCGTTCAACAACAAACAAACAAAACAAACTTCTACATGAACCCGAAGTGTGACCTACCTGGTGGAACCAGCCTGCCGGGATGACCAGGAACTCGCCGGGATTCTGATCAAACTCTATGTAGTGCGCCCTCTTGTACAGGGGATACTTGTTGTAGTCCTCACTGTCAAATGTGTCAATCGGGCTGAAACATTGACACAGACCACAATCAGAGAAGTGGTTCAAATCAACTGATCACACACAACTTTGTCCTGCCACAAAAATAAATCACTATCCATATCTGAATCATTTTAACATGAAAGGTAGGTCCTCAAAATCTGGTTACAATAATTGTAAGGTATTTGAAATCGGTCACAAATATAAGTCGTATTTAGGTGAAAGATCCTGTATGAAGCTGCACACCATGTTTAATGTAACCTCAAACCCATCATGATGTAGCAAACAAATGATTTTTCATGAGCACTTATAACTCCCCAAGCTCCTCACAGCAATGATTTGCTTCCTACACAGTCTATTTCGAGAGCTCAATAAAGGTGTAATGTGGAGTTCACGTGTCTTAATTCTGATACCTAAAATACTCTCTGAAAAGAGATTATGACAAAATTGTTTCTAGGAGTGTCAGAAACTTACTTGAACACTAAAATGCTGCCTAAATTGAATGCTGTTTTTACATACATTATGGAAAACCTCTTGCCTATGGTAAACTGAATAAAATGCACATTGCTGTATATGTGCAATAATCATGAACGCGACGTGGAACCCCATTTCGGCTTTGCGTCGCCTGAATAAAATGTCTGTATATAGTGTGTGAAGGAGTTGGCTTTTCTGCCACTTTTGGCAATGCTAAGATCATGGCAGGGGACACCAGTAATAAGGTTGACATGTTGCATCCATGTTTAAATCAATAAATTAAGTAAATTGGCACCGAGGTAGTAATGTTGTATTTAAGATAGAATAGATATAACAGTAATGCACTGAGAATCTTCAGCAAATTGCTGAAATTGGCTCATGTGAAATAATAATTAATGCCATAAACTCCCTATTCTGAGCGTAAAAAAAATTACCAGGTAATTTCACAACCTAATTCATAGTTTTATAATATCTAAGATCAAGGCCAAGCCAATTTATTAATAATTTCACCAACAGGCTTATCCTGGATGGATCAAGAGTGAAAAAGAAAAATATTGAAATTTGCCAATCTATAACATTTTTTGTTCAAATTTTTAATGTTACTTTCTTGCAAAAGTACCTCAAATCAAATTTATTTACCAGTATTTAGAATGGTATTTATTTCATTTTCCCATCTTCCTTCTGTCATATTGATGCATGAGAGTAATCTACATTGGTGTGGCCTAAGTTAGCAAAACCTCACGCAAATTAAAATTTTAAGGCGAGAAAATGCAAAGATGTGCATTTAGGGACAGACAGATGAAAACACAATGTATGGACAACAAGAAAAGCTATTTCCAGAAATGCTTCATATTCAGTGCAACTAAACACATCCAGGCGGTGTCTCGATTCACTGGATGCAGCAGGGTTCTGTACAATAGCCCCGAAAACAACACAATCAAAATACAAAAAAACAAACAGCCCTGGCTTGACCAGTGCTTCAAAATGTCAGTACTAGTTTTTTGCTCCATGAGTTTTTTCCCAGTTTATTTGATTAATAGAGGAAGCACCATCCCTGATGTGTGTCTTGTTTTATGCCAGTCAGCAAACTCAAGCTATGAAAACAAAACATGTGGCTGACTTTCCCAAATTTCAACAAGTGTTGTCTTTATCTTCTGAATCGGATGCCAAAGACATATGATATGAATCGTCTACAGTACCACGTGATTCTGAAACTCAGTTGAAAAACAACTTCTGACACTACGAAATGAGTGTCTTGATTTGATTGATGCAACATGAAAATAGATTTCGGTTAAAAAACATGACACGTTCGTAACAGACACCTCCTTAACGGAAAATTTAGTTCTTGTGACTTTTTTTCATAAATTGGCATATTATTTGTATGAATTAAGGAAGAAATCCTATTTTTGTATTTTAGTTGTCCTTATGGTTGAAATGTTAATCACTCGCCCAAAGTTGGTTTGTTTGTTTGTTGTTTAACGGCACACTCAGCAATATTCCAGCTATATGACGGCGGTCTGTAAATAATCGAGTCTGGACCAGACAATCCAGTGATTGATATCATGAGCATCGATCCACCACATTGGGATCGATGACATGCATCAACCAAGTCAGCGAGCCTGACCACCCGATCCCGTTAGTCGCCTTTTACGACAAGCAAAGTCACCTTTTACAGCAAGCATGGGTTGCTGAAGACCTATTCTACCCCGGAATTTTCTCCTATTCATGGTAACCTTTGCGCAAACACAAATTACTTTAGTAGTTAGTTAATATTCTATCACTGTTTGGGCAGGTGAGTAATATTTTCTCATTAGGAACCAACAGTGCCTTGGCACTTACCATTTCTCTTGTAGAGTCTCAATCAAACAACATAAATAATCTAGATTGCACATATAGATAAAAACTAGGAACAAGTATCGTATCATGCAAACGGACAGCAAGAGAGAGAGTCTAGATCCCAAGGAGCAAATAGCAAGAACATACAACAGATGGTTCCTCACTCATACAACACCAGAAGCAGACAGAGAGAACATGTTCATAACAGATATTCCTTCCAGAGAAGTACAGCAGGAAAATACAGAAATATATGGTCAATACATTAACACCAATTTAAAACATACCCTGCACAAAAAGTTCAGCAATATACTCACAATCATAAATATCAACCATAAAGTCAACGTTAAAACAAATCGATAATTGAATTGTGCTGACCATCAGTGAGTGAGTGAGTGAGTGAGTATGGTTTTACTCCGCTTTTAGCAATATTCCAGCAATATCACGGCAGGGGGACACCAGAAATGGGCTTCACACATTGTAACCATGTCGGGAATCGAACCCGGGTCTTCGTCGTGACGAGCGAACACTTTTACCACTAGGCTACCTGACGGCCCCTACTGACCTTCAGAATTCTGATAATATAATGCTATATGATGGTAACCTGTATGCGTCAGACTCAGTTTTCTGATTTCAGAGTTTGGACAAGAAAACCAATGGTCAATAGTGTGAGCTTCAGATAACTGAACATTAACCAGAGCCGCGTTCCTCAAAGCGATCTTAGCACTACGATGATCGTAAACCTTTGTTAAAGTATAGGACTTACGATCATCTTAGCGCTAAGATCGCATTGAGGAAAGGAGCTCAGGACTGGTTCAACAAGGGACCATCTCAGGGGGATACAGTGAATCCCAGTAGACCCCAATTGACCCCAGTCGACCCCAGTCGACCCCAGTTGACCCTGTGACATTGTACTTCAGTTTCTGGATTACTGAACCATGGACACTGAGTGATGTCCCTTGAAACAGCAATCATCCAGGGGCCAGGGCCCCATTCCACAAAGCCATCTCAGTGCTAAGGTGATCGTAACTCCCATGACTTAACAAATACTTACGACTGTTGTAGCGCTACGATTTCTTCGTGGAATGGGGCTCTGGTTTCTTGACCAAAGGGTCCTAACGGATGTAGGGCCGGGACGAGACACCAACTGTGCGATCTGATACGTGTCACGATACCTTGTTCACGATACCTTGTTCACGATACCTTGTTCACGATACCTTGTTCACGATACCTTGTTCACAATCCGACACTTATCATGATACTTGTATGTGCTCTTATCTGTGGTCTTTAAACCATATGTTTATCAGCTTATCCTTGGAACCAAACACAAGTGTTGTAAACTAGGGCTGGGACGATACACAGAAAGTGCGATCCGATACGTATCACGATAGTTGCATGTGCTCTTATCTGTGGTGCGTAAGCCATCTTTTTCATAGACAGGATGGCCAGATACCTGCACACTGATGATTTACAGTTGGAAGTGTCATGGATGAAAATATGTATGTTTTCACAACTCATTTTCACTAGTATTTAATGTTTGGTGTAACATTTATTAAAGAATACATTTAGGGTGAGAATCAATACTTTTTACTAAGTGTGTGATTGTGATAGACACTTGTATCAAGAAGTTTTAGTTTGTTTGTTTGTTTGTTGTTTAATGCCGCACTCAGCAATATTCCAGCTATATGATGGCGGTCTGTAAATAATCTGGACCAGACAATCCAGTGATTGATGTCATGAGCATCGATCCACGCAATTGGGATCGATGACATGCATCAACCAAGTCAGCAAGCCTGACCACCCGATCCCATTAGTCGCCTCTTACGACAAGCATAGTCGCCTTTTACGGCAAGCATGGGTTGGCGAAGACCTATTCTACCACAGATCTTCACGGGTCTTATCAAGAAGTAAAAAGTCGCGATGTGTCCATGTATCATCCCACTAGTAGACAGAAAGACATCTCTTTTTATCAACGTTTGAGTTTGTAAACAGGATTGTGAGTTGTTACTCAGGAATATTTTGTGCAGAGTACGTTCACAGAAACCAAGAAATTAGCGAATCATTGCATGTCAAGTCCTCACTACACATATACATGTAACACAACACATTCCTGTCCTATCAGATTAAAAAAAAAAAATTTAAAATTTAAAATAATATTTTTATATAAAAATGAGGTCAACCATGTGGGCCACATGGGACAGAGATTTAGCACCTCAACATATGTTTTACCTTACACGCAAAATACTTTCTTTGAGCATATATTTATTCACTTGAGTCAATCGATATTTTTTAAACCAATAACCAAACCATTTATTATATCAATAAATCTTCTTAATAGCTGTTTCATACATCCACAACTGCTGAAATCTTTAATATTATATTGCTCTGAAGTCATTGCTAAACTACAACTGAATTTGACAAAACTTACAACACAATTTGGACATCTGGATGCTTTTTTTGCCAGACACAGACAAGTAATTCCAATTGAAAATCAGAGCTAACTTCCTGTACCCATGGTAACACTTTCCAACTAGTCCAGTGGGTACTTTAACCAAATGAGAACTGGTTGCGAGTTAAGTTTCAAACACTTGACTGTCACTTCCTTGCAAGTGGTTCACGGTTTTTTTCATTACTGATTAAATAAACAATCCGTGAAGTTATTATTGTGGACTTATTTATCTATATAGAATATGACTTCAATATATTTTGGTGTTTATGGAGATATATAAGATAGCTACGTGATAAATCGCAAAGAACAATAAAGAATAAAGTGTGGTTTATTTCATGATAAAACATGATTCTATTATGAAGTCATATCTGGAGATTCAAACATGTGCTTGCAATTTGATGATGTCGTAAACTGGACGACATTATTTTTACAAGGGAAGTGTCTAGAGTGAGTTGTTACCTGTGGATGTGGCTGGACAACGCAGATGAATGCAATGCTCGAACAATTGCATCCAAAATTGGGATAGATATGGCAATTGGTATTGGGAAAAAAGATACAGATCACTGACGTTCAAATAATGAGAATACCAAACTTAACCCCCTGTACATAAAATGGAATTGTCCAATAGTGCTGTGGTCGGATTGTATTTAGGGAGTCAACATTATTTAAATATGGGATAATATTTTAAAAGCTTGTACAATTTATTGACACCCTCAAAAAGGGCTGTTCGAAATGTTGATATCTCATATAAGAAATAAACCACTCATGGTCATTGTTTATCGTACAATAAAACAATGCAGGGAAGATAAACCATGAGGGCTGCACCCTGCAGTGTGTGATAAACGACTCCAAAATGAGTGAACATAGGTTTCTACACTTACCGTATTCGACGTAATAAGCGCCCTGTTCTTATAAGCGCCCACGGCGATATTTGCTAATATATTGGCTAGTGAACAATCCCAGTTAGCACCCGTTCCGACTGATCAATGTACACAAGACTTATTTATTCGTGTATAATACGCACTCGTTTGTTATATGCACTCTTAATTATGGGCAATTCAATTCTCGAAAATATATCTATCGTGTATAATACACACATTCTTCTTTTATATCATTTCAGGCTGTCAGCATAAACCACAAAATTTACAATCTTTCAACCTCTTTTTTAATCTCACCAAATTTATATTCTAATAAGAGCCCCCTATTTCTAATTTTGAGAGCACCCTAGGCGCTTTTTACGTCGAATACGGTATACTTAAATAAATGCGAAAATATCAGTCAATTCTTGAACATAGAATCATCAAATGTTCACAGACAATGACACCAAACATCCTGCTTTTTCACACCCAAAACACTCCTATAATAAAAAGGACAATAGACATGTATGTGTTGTGATACTTGACAGCAAAATATACAAGTCATGCTGCACAGTCGTGCTCACAGCTACCCACAACACGATGCACAACACGATGCACAACACGATGCACAACACCACGGTCACAGTACCTATTGTATTTCCTACACTCTAGCGGAAACCCGCACATTTTGTTGGATTTTACCGACAAAAGATGGTCCTGCCCGGGAGGAAACAGCTTGAAAAAAAAAAATAAGACCAGTTTCCATTAATACCATAGAGTCAGCGGCAGAAACTAAGCTTTTTAGTCCACTGGTCCTTAACAAATGATAACATATAGCAAAACCCTTAAAAAAGCAAATTTCTGCTAGTCCTTATGATGCTTTAACTATTGGGCAGTTTGGCAAGGACTACAGGACTAGTGCCAGTTTCTAACGCTGCAGTGAGTCACAATGAGCCAGATGGGTTTAACACTGCCATGATCAGTATTCCAGTTATATCACAGACATTGGTGAAACCCACAATCATGGCGTGGTGCTGACAAACCTAGAAACATTATCAGGACAAATCTGAGATTTGAACCCACAATCGTAAGTTTCTGGCATTTCCTGAAGACACCAAGCAGGGAACCAAACCTGGGTCTTAGGCGTCACAAGCGAACACTTTAACCACCATCCTACCTAGTCATTTCCATCTTTCAATTTTTGTTTTGGTTTGTTGTTTAACGCCGCACTCAACAATATTCCAGCTATGTGACTAGACAATCCAGTGATGGACATCATGAGCATCGATCTAAGCAATTGGGATACAATGACATGCATCAACCAATTCAGCGAGTCTGACCACCCGATCCTGTTAGTCACCTCTTAGGACAAGCTTAGTCGCCTTTTACGGCAATGGTTGCTGAAGACCTATTCTACCCCAGATCTTCACAGGTCTCCATCTTTCAAGAAAACAATAAACATTGAAAACCATTAAATGTATTTAAGAAAACAATTCAAATTACATACACACATTTCAATCCCTGCTTAAATGATTTATTTTCTCCACTGACTAAATGAGTTCTTGTTTAAACAGTTCTTGTTCCAATAAAGGCAGTCCTTTAACCTAAAAGTATTCCCTCGTATTTCCAAGTACCAATCAAGGTTCTCAATTATTCATTCACAAAGGACCGCAGCCGTAGTCTAGTGGGTAAATGATCTGTCCGGTGAGTGGCTGTGTTGTACCGAAAGACGTAAAAGATGGTACTTGTTGTTTCCCTGCCTGACACTCTGCATTAAGGGGCTAAAACAAGTTCGGGCTAGTACAAGCAGCCACACACACACACACACATGCAACCACAAATCTTGAACGCGATGTTAAACCCCATTTCACCTCATGCACAAAGGATTCCTTGGTACAGGACCATCTTCCTGAGGCAAGGGTGTCAACTGACTATAAAAGTCCCTTGCCTCAGGAAGATGGGAAACATTCAAACATTTAAGACTGAAACACCATCTTAAACCAAACCGGAGAATGTATACGCCACATGTAACAAATGTAATATTTTGGATAAAACTTTCTGAGTAAAGTAATTATTCTATTACTCTATTATGAGTCAGAGGGGTACACAAAATACGTGATCTAGACTACCAGTTGTCAGACTTTCATTTTTTTGGAAGCCTCGGTGGCTGAGTGGGTTAGCTCACTTTGTGTGCTGGCAATTAGGTGCCTCACTCTGGCAGTGTGTGCTCGAATCCCAGACGGGACTCAACCCCCAAAAGTACGAGAATCTGTACCTTACTAAGAAAGTGTTATCCCAAATATAACGTGTTACATCTGACTGCTTTCTAAATGGCATTGTGTGTACATATGCTCCACATCATCTTATATATCCCTCATGCTTCAAAGTCATTTGCTGTGTAGAGATTTCCATACATGTCACTGGGGCTTGAGTTTCAAATCAGTTTGAAGCCCTGGCAAGCTCAATTTAAGTCATTAAGAACCACACTGTTTGTCTTCAATCAACTTTTACGATGTACAGTAAACTACGGTTTTAACGAACTCAAAGGAACCACTAATTTTAGTTCATAATAACCATAGTTCGTTATAAGCATATATACAGCATCATGGGCGGATACAGCTTTTTTGAAAAGGGGGGGTGCACAATTAAGATCTATTTATTGTCTTTGGTGGTAATTTATACAGAAATAAAGATTTTTTTCGAATTCGAATTACCCCCCCTCTGCATCCGCCCATGAGCATGTATACAACAAATGGCCGGGACTAAAAATAAGTTTGTTATAGCGGTCAGTTCATTATAAGCGTGTTTGTTATAAACGTAATTTACTGTATATGAATTTAAATGTTTGAATGGCATTCTAGAAGTTGGTGAGTAAGAAAACATACAACTTCACGGATAACAACTTCTGGTTTATTGTATATAGTGACGTTTCAATGTAGGTTGATGAAGATCAACTCCAGCTTGATGACGGTATATGATTCCACATCGAAACATCGCTACATGCAAAATATCAGAGTGAGTTGTGTTTAAATCCGCTTTTTACAGTATTCCAGTTATATCCCGGCGTGTCAGCTTAATGTGGGAGGAAAGCCTGAAGCGATGCAGGTCTCAGATGTTTACCACTTCGGTGAAACCCACAAGCACGGGTATGATGCTGACATACCTAGAAACATAATCGGGGCGAATCGGGATTCAAACCCACAACAATAGGTTTCTGGTGTGCCCAAGGGACGCAACTCTGCACAGCAAATTGTGGTGCCTTAGATGACTGTCCCTCTAAAAATATCAAAAGTTGTTATGCATTAAGTTGTACGTTTTCTTAATGAATTTTGCAGTTAATGCGTACCTTAATTACACAAAGACAATGTCTCAGTCTGACACATGGCATTAAGTTAATAATTACGTCTAGAACTCGGCATTCATGCGTAGTATTTTACCTCTGATGTCATCAATCAAACCTGCCTAGTCATGAGTGAGTATTGTTTTATACCGCTTTTAGCAATATTCCAGCAATATGAAGGGGGGCGGGGACCACCAGAAATCAGAAATGGGCTTCACACATTGTACCCATATTGGGAATTGAATCTTGGTCTTCGGGGTATCGAACCTGGGTCTTTGGCGTGATGAGCAAATGCTTCAACCACTAGGCACCCCACTGCCCAAAAAGTAAAGAGTGACATAGAGTCTGTCATTGTCCTAAAATCTTAAAACTTTTGAAGTGGTTGGTTATTTCAAGTATACATCTTGACACAGCAAATGGCTCAGAAACCTCCAGGGTAGATGCAGGAACTCATCTAGAGCTCTACTGGCTGATGGTGTGACAGTATTCAAGTGTTTGCTACCAGGACTTGTTTGAAACACTAAATCCATGCTTACAATACCATGATTCTTGGCCATATCTCATCACCAAACTCAATAATGTTTGCTACAGCTAAACAAAATTCTGAGGACATCCCATTGCGGGTCATGTCAGAACGACCTTTTCATCTGACCAATCAGAGAATCGCTTATCAGATCATGAAAGTGACAGTTGGAATGTGATTTTTGATTGTGTAATCTCGAAAAAAAAACCACACAGGGTATTCAGAACGATAGTTATGGGCTTTATGTCTGTATTCACACAATCTAGACCATCTATTAGCCATTCCAGAATGCTCTTTTATTCAGTTTTTATTTTTTTAATCGAGTATATGTCAATATATGTTTCAAAGTGTAGTCACCAGTTTGAAACTCGTGCCGTAAAGCTCGATTAAGCTGCCTTCTGATTGACTATTGTTGCTTTTTGTTAGTCATTCCATTGGTTACTCAAAGGTCGCGAAAGGTCAGTCTGACGTGACCCGTAATGGGATGTCCTCAGATCTTTGTTTGGCGGAAGTGAGAACTACGATCTGATTTTAATGAGCTTCAAGACTTATACAAAGGACGATATCTTTTATGAATCTGATATACAGCTATGCCCAGCACTCTGGATATACATATGCCCTCTGAGAACCAATTAAATGTTAAAATTTGAATTATCTCCCTTCTCACGGTCCATCTTGACTATCAGAATTTCAATAAATGTAAACGTTTCTGTGGCATTGAATGCATAATTTTGTATCACTATTCATAAATTTACCGACACTTCGATATCGTGATGACATCCTACCTTCCACCTCTTCTTGCCTTTGATGACTGCGTTGGTGCCCGTCCAGTTGTAGGGGTCGATATGGAGGGAGGAGCGAGAGTAGGCTGTTCCCCACAACAGCATACAGTCCCAGGGACGGATTTCTTGAGGAAATAGGTTGAAAAAGTTCTCGGTTGTGTACGTCTGCAAAACAAATTTGAATAAAACTGCAAAAATATCTACGAGTCCTATTGATCCTTACATGAAACAAACTGTTGTGGGATTTCATCGTCAGTACTTCACAGGTTTGTATACACCATGCGTATTACTCATGAACATAATAGTTGCTTTTTTAACCAAAGAGTTCTCCGACCAATAAGTGCCAAACGTCGGTGTTTCTCCCATGAGAATTTTCGCAGCATGTGTCATTGCCTTGCAGCCGTCTGTTTTTTGCATCACCTCAAAGTTGGGCAATGGTGGGGTTGCACAATGTTCATACCTGGAGTAGGGGCGGTCGGGTAGCCTAGTGGTTAAAGTGTTCACTCGTCACGCCGAAGACCCGGGTTCGATTCCCGATATGGGTACTATGTGTGAAGCCCATTTCTGGTGTCCCCCGCTGTGATATTGGTAAAAGCAGCTTAAAACCATACTCACTCACTCACTCACTCACCCACCCACCCACCCCGACCACTCACTCACTCGTCCTCCCACCCACCCACCCACTCACTCACTCACTCACTCAATACCAGACTGAAAGTCTCCTGAAAGCAGTCTCTATGAAGCCTTGTATGGCTCCCTTGTTCTGGTAATAGCAGAGATATGAGAAAGTAGGAAATTCAGGGATATTACATTATGTTCCTAACTCTTGAGCCCTACAGTAGTGAGTGAGTGAGTATGGTTTTTCAGCGCTTTTAGCAATATTCCAGCAATATCACGGCGGGGGACACCAGAAATGGGCTTCACACATTGTACCCATGTTGGGAATCGAACCCGGGTATTCTGCGTGATGAGCGAACGCTTTAACCACTAGGCTACCTGACCGCCCCTGAGCCCTACAGTAGGTTCCCGGATAGTGTCAGTAATAGGGGGTCGAGTACCCGGGTCGTAAATTAGGACGCATCCCAGCCCTACTGTCTACAGATATTTTCTGGCACATTAGATGACTGGGCCATCCCTGGACCTGCTTGGTGAAAGTATAAAGTAAATATACTCACCACCAAAAGAAACGTGAATACCATACATCTTGGTTAAAAAATGATGACTTACTCATATTCAAGAGATATTACACTGGTTCGATGCACAAATGAACATACTGTTAAGTAGCTTGAATGGACACTCATGAACGCATCACATATGTGATGTCATAGATCCATGACTCGAGATGCACAATTTGTCTCGTGCAGGATTATCACGTGAAGCATATCGTGATAAGAATAAAGACACTGTGGTAACCCTCGGTAAGGATGAGATATGTGATATATCTTTACTTTGTACTCCAACTTCTAAAGGCTTCTTAAAGAAGGTATGTGGTAACACTTGACTGATTGTTAGTTTTGTCATTAAGTGGTACACATTGGAAACATCTCTTCTTAACATATATACAGTCTCGTTAATCCGACACTCGTTAATCCGCCAGTCGGGAACTGATTAAATCAGTGCTATTTAGACCTGTTAATCCGACAGTCTTGCACTCCGACTCTGACACACCTAATTTGCAACGAATTACCAAAATCACTCATTAATCAGTCTCGTTAATCCGACACAGTGATCAGCGTACTCTGTGGTCATCTGCCCGCGTTTTGATGCAAGACGATTCTTCTGGTAGCTGTATATTACAACGGCTGCAGAGATAAACTTGCTTAACAATAAACAATTAATGCTTTAAATAAAGAAAACAGGATTAATTACATGTTAAGATTACCTCCATTTCATTAAAATTTTTATCCAAGTTCTCGCTATCGGCGAGGACTTCCCATTACACGTCATTCCCAGGTCATGTCTGAACAACCTTTCGCGAACAATGACCTACCAATGAAATGACTAACAGGAAGTCAACGTTAGCCACTTAGAAAGCAGCTTTCTTAAGCTTTGCGATACCAGTTTCAAAGTTGCGACTTCCATTCTAGACTATGCTTTTTAAAGTATTTTGAATAAGTCATACAGTCCGTAACAGTTGTTTTGTGTTAAACTTTAGCGGTTGCATGATTAGAAAACAAATGTAGCATAACAATATGAATATTTATTATATATTTTTTTTATTACGTGTTTGAATCGTTATCTATCATGTATTTATCCGATTTGATCACAAATGTTGATACTACTTAACTTTGTTTATCCGACATACTCGTTAATCTGACATAATCATATGCAACCATCAATGTCGGATTAACGGGACTTGACTGTACATGGTTCGCATTGTGTTTGGTGGTGAGTAAATACATTTTTTATTATTATTAAAAACTGCTTTCTCACACTTGTCTGCACTTGTTTGTAGAGCTGAGGTCGGAGAGGGATGAACAGTTCGTCCTCCAGGTATGTCCAGGTGGTCGGTGAACTCTCCTCAATGTGCTGTAGAAATAACTTTAGTGGCAGTGCAAGACTCGAAGCCTGGTTAAGTTTTCCCTGGAAAGAAATTATAATAAACAGAGTGAGTGAGTAAGTTGGTTTTAACGCCCCTATTAACAGTATTACAGTTATATCACGACGTGTCAGCTTATTGTGGGAGGAAAGCCCGAAGTGATGCAGATCCCAGACGTTTACCACTTCGGTGAAACCCACGAGCACGGGTATGGTGCTGACAAACCTAGAAACATAATCGGGGCAAACCGGGATTCGAACCCTGAATCATAGGTTTCTGGCGTGCCCAAGGGACGCAACTCTGCACAGCGAATCGCGGCGCCTTAGATGATTGCAATAGTCATCAATATAATAGTGTGAGTGAGCGTGTATGGTTTTACGCCGCTTTTAGCAATATTCCAGCAATATCACGGCAGGGGAAACCAGAAATGGGCTTCACACATTGTACCCATGTGGGGAATCGAACCTAGGTCTTTGGTGTGTCAAGCAAATGTTATAACCACTGGGCTACCCAACCGCCCCGCAATATCATAGTGCATGAGGGAGTGACTATTATTCTATGTCACAGCTTGTCCTTTAGTCTTAGACAAGGGAAAATCCAGAGGGAACAGTTGTCCTCTTCCCAAATCTTTAAATTTTACATAAACCACAAGTTTGAAATGAGCTGCAGACAAGTTGGATTTGACCCACAGTGTCCACCCCTGATATTTCAGCATGTCAGCTTGATATGGGAGGAAAGCATGAAGTGATGCAGGTCTTAGATATCTCCACTTAGGTGAGGGAGTGACTGAGGATGGTTTAATGCCGCTTTTAGCAATATTCCATCAATATCACAGCAGGGGGACACCAGAAATGGGCTTCACTCATTGTACCCATGTCGGGAATCGAACCCCGGTCTTCGGCGTGATGAGTGAATGCTTTAACCACTGGGCTACCCAGCCGCCCCTCCACTTAGGTGAATTACACAAACATAGAAACATGATCTTGGGGAATATAGGGTTTTGTTATTGGCCATTTAGGCTATATAGATTGCACATATATTCCACACAGGAGCATGCTCAAAGCGCTATTATTACTCTGGTCACTGGATCAGTGTATACTCAGCAATCATTCTCAGCTCCCTGGGCAGTATACAACCCAAGCTGCCTGCCAAGAAACTCTCAGGAGCCAAGCTACCGAAACAGGGTCACCCATCCAAGGACTCTCCGCGACCAATGTTGCTTAACTTCATCTGATTTGTGACCTGTGTGCTATGTACGGGACCGCGTGCCACTACGGAGATTGTCTGATCATCCTGAGAGATGGGTCTGTGCACAGCCAAATGTCATGGCCACTCGTGAAGGTATCTGTCCACAGCCTTCAGCTAGCTTACAAGGATTTAAACAGTTCATCCCTTTACTCACATGGACAGCTTTCATGACGACTCTTTCTTCACCGTAATGGTTGACAAAGAACTCTTTGGTCCAATTGCAGGCTTCCCATTTGGGTATGATGTCAGTAATAAGCACAGGCCTAAACAAAAAACAAGAAGATGTGAGGCTTCATGCACCATGATTCCATTCTCCGTATCTCCGGGGTCACATTGCGGTAAACCTGCACCAGCCTCTGGATCCATTCCCGTGGTTCTCGCAAACCCAAATTACCCGCCCTTGATCTCAATTTGCCAATCTGATTGGCTACGCTACGAGGTCTAATTGACCAATCAGAATGTGAATTTACGAACCAGCCTCAGTGTTGGGTTGGCAATGTCAACAACATGGCAGCCAGTCCCATTGATTATGATCGAGTTGGGGAGAAATTCAACATTGAAAAATGGAAAAAATCTTTTGGATGTTTTTGGAAATTCAACATTGAAAAACTGACAAAAATCTTTTGGATCCATCACCTGTAAATACATAACGGCCTTGCAATGTACAACTACGCTATTTCAATCAACCAAACACGATCCAGTTCCAGCGAGGGTTTGGTTGGTTGGTTTGTTGTTTTACGCCGCACTCAATATTCCAGCTAAATGATGGCGGTCTGTAAATAATCGAGTCTGGACCAGACAATCAAGTGATTAATATCATGAGCATCGATCAATGCACTTGGGATCAATGACATGCTTCAACCAAGTCAGCGAGGCTAACCACCCGATCCCGTTAGTCGCCTCTTACGACAAGCATAGTCGCCTTTTATGGCAAGCATGGGTTGCTGAAGACCAATTGTCTCTCCACGCCATCAGTGTATGACGACAAACATAGTCGCCTCTTATGACAAACATAGTCGCATCTTACGACAAACATAGTCGCCTCTTACGACAAACATAGTCGCCTCTTACGACAAACATAGTCGCCTCTTCTGACAAACATAGTCGCCTCTTACGACAAACATAGTCGCCTCTTCTGACAAACATAGTCGACTCTTCTGACAAACATAGTCGCCTCTTACGACAAACATAGTCGCCTCTTACGACAAACATAGTCGCCTCTTACGACAAACATATGCTATTCTTACCAGAATCCCATGGGGACATTTGTTTATGAAACGAGTCAACAACCTACCATTTTCCATCATAAACATCCCAGAATTCCTCCAACTTCAGACCTGATCGCCGGTCAATACCAGCGTCGTTGTATTTAAAATCATACTTCTCCATGCTTTCGTCTCGAGTAGCAAACGCTGCTTGAAAGTCGAACACATAGGGACTTGTGGACAGATTCACTTGTGTCTCGGTATGTTTCTCCTGCAGCAGTTCCGGCCACTGTATGTGCAGACAGATTCCCATAACGGTTGCCAGGATACCGCAGAACGGTCCCCAAGTCTGAACAGAACTCTTGCCCGAACTGTTCAGTTTCCCAGGAGGCATGGCTGCTTTTTTTGTTCGACTCATTTTGTCCCTACCTGAAACATAATTTTTAAACTTTTGGACAAAGCATTCAGGTTATTGTAATCACCATATTAAGCACCTGCACCAATAAGTGAGTGAGTGAGTGAGGGAGTTTGATTTTACGCCGCTTTTAGCAATATTCCAGCAATATCATGGCGGGGGACACCAGAAATGGGCTTCACACATTGTACCCATGTCGGGAATCGAACACAGGTCTTCGGCGTAACGAGCGAACTGCACCAATAAGACTTAAGCGATCAAATTCTAGGACAATCCGTAGTAATATTCATAAGCGTACCCTACTATGATGCCAAATTTACGAGCTTTAGGGCAAGGCTATACTATGTTACAATACAACTGGGAGTGAAGCAAAATGTATTACTTTTCTAAGTTGCCCAATTTAAGTCCAACCTTTTTATTGGAGACAGGTTTGAAATGAAATCTGTAAGCGGTGCCATAAATCCTTGCACTGAGCGACAAAGTATGTTTTTATCATTATGAAACACCACTAAAATGGGTAGGTTATGGTTCAATACATCCTTCTGTATTATCTGTTCAGTGTATGATTATCCACATCTTCCCAAATTCCTGGGCTTGATCGTAGCACCAGTTTACGAACTGGATTTCAATATGTTGTGCGATTTTGATTGGACAATGCAAACTCGTTAGTTCAGCCTAAATGTAACTCCATAATACCAGCCTAGTTCGGCAAGGGTGGAAACTGGGCTTTTATAGTCAGTTAACTCTCTGGCCTCGGGAACATGGACTATCCATAACTCTATGCAGCATTAAAAAGGGTTTAAATTTAGGTTTTATAAAAATTTGCCTCACGTGACTTGAAACATTCCACCAATGCATGGTGGACCGAGCTAACACATGTAAACATAGCTGAAGTCCAGGGCCCCATTCCACAAAGCGATCTTAGTGCTAAGTCTATGTTAAAGTATGGGAGTTACGATCATCTTAGCGCTACGATCGCTTTGTGGAACGGGGCCCAGTGTCACCAGTTATAGTGAGTTGAGATGTTTGTGAAAGTTGCAACTTTGTTTCCGCCCGTTAGCAGACGGCAGCAACTGCAAGCCAGGAAATACCGTCCTTACTGAGTTGAGTGCTCTATATGATACAATAACCGACGTGAATTGACGGCCTGGGTGTGAGATGGCGGAGCAAGAGCAACAGTAGTCGTTTTGTTTGACTGCAGTGTATTGCCCAATGCCCTACAGACAGCAAGACGCGTAAATATGGTTATGAAACTGTTTAAGGATTGATCATGCCTGAGTTCAGTAATGTTGCGACCGGGTACGAAAACTGGACTCGAGTACCCGGCAGACAATAACCGAACCGGACTCGAGTACCCGTAGTTCAATGTTGTCCCACTTGTTTGTAATGCTTTTGCGAAAAAAAGGTCATCAAACATCTATTGATCTATTCTAAGGTATTATGTTTTTTTATTAAATTCCTGCATGGCTTACCTAAAACCACAAGTGACGCAGAATATCAAAGTAAATGCTCTTGTGGTTAAAACTTGTGATTTTTTTTTATGGAACTCGTCGAACTACCTGCGTAGCTGATACATATGCCACAGAGACGGCATTTGGTCTTCTTCTTTGTGTCATCAAGGTCAAAATACGCCCAAACATTTGAACGTTTGTCCGCTTTGTCGTCCATTTTGAAGTGACTTACGAGTTATCTGCCCTGAACGGGTACTCGAGTCCTGAAAATTGGACTCGAGTCCTAGGCTACCCGACCCGTTATCGGGTACTCGAGTACCCGTCGCAACCCTCGTCTTCAGGGACAGGCATAATTCCTAGTGAACCAAAGCCCGCCTCAGACAACTTTGTGGCAGCAACATGGACTGTGTTTTTTTAATGTTTGGCAAATCCCTGTGGCCTTAGAGATTGTTGACATCATCCTGACATATCTCTTCCAAGGTAACAAGTTATCTGAAAAGCTTACAGAAACTTTTTTACCAATTGATAATTGATGTGGATGTGCCATCTTGCTTGACAGGAATTATTAAGTTTGTTTGTTGTTTAAGGCCGCACTCAGCCATATTCCAGCTATATGACGGCGATCTGTAAATAATCAAGTCTGGACGAGACAATCCAGTGATTGACATCATGAGCATCGATCCACACAATTGGGATACAATGACATGTATCAACCAAGTTAGCGAGCCTTACCACCCACTCCCGTTAGTCGCCTCTTACGACAAGAATGGGTTCCTGAAGACCTATTCTACCCCGGGTCTTCACGGGTCAGGATGATTTAACAATGTTGCCAAGGATATGAAAGATTGCGGAGAAGGTAATTTCGAACAGCGTCATCACTTCAGCCCAATAAGATGTTACTCATCAGTTTACTTTTTCGCAAGAAAAGGTTCAGTCTACACCTTGGATCTTTCAGTGAGTCATCGAACATGCTAAGAACACTGTGAGTATACAAACTGAAAAAGTTGGAGGGATGATTTGGACGATAAATAGAATCACACACTGTGTCTTTTGATATCAAATACATCAACAATCATCAATAAAACTTTAAATCTACACTGCAAGCCAAAGAGTTTTAAATGTTTATCAACTCATGTTGATATATTTGATATAAAAATCACAGGTATGATTCTCTATACCCCTTCCAAGCATAAGATCTCCTCTATTAAACAGATCATTAACAACAAGTAAACCACATCAGAAACTGATAGAGAGACAACGTACGTTTCTTCTCTTTCTTGGCCATATTGCTGCTCAGAGATCAGAACACCAACACGTAATCTGCTACCCCTTGATGATGTGTTCACAGACTGACACAATTAACCCGTCCACGATGTGATGGACAGATAGCTACGTCTCCCTTGCAACAGCAGCCTGTCACAGGTGTCGTCATTAGAACGTAGGACGCCCCCAGTTCTTCCTGATTACCTTTGTCTGACCATCTTGCAATCTTACCATCTGTTACTAGCAATCTAAACTTGCATTAGAAGCTTCTGACCTGGGCCCACTTGCACAAAGCGATTTTAGTGCTAGGATGATTGTAACTCCCATACTTTAACATAGGCTTACGATGGTCTAAGCGCTAAGATCGCTTTGTGCAAGTGGGCCCTGGGGAATGAGTACCGTATTTGACCGTAGATAAGCCAAATTTTGAGGACCAGAAAAAAGATTCTGTAGAAAGGGGTCGGTTTATGTATACCATATTCGACGTAATAAGCGCCCCGCTCTAATAAGCGCCCACAGCGATATTTGCTAATATATTGGCAAGTGAACAATCCCAATTAGCACTCCTTCCGATTGATCAATGTACACAAGACTTATTTATTCGTGTATGATATGCACTCGTATGTTATATGCACCCTTAATTATGGGCAATTAAATTCTGGAAAAATATATCTGTCGTATATAAACAGTTCAGGCCGTCAGCATAAACCACGAAATGTATCTTTCAAGTCTGTTTCTTACCACCAAAATAATATTCAAATAAAAGCCCCCTATTTCTAATTTTGAGAGCGCCCTGTGCGCTTATTACGTCGAATACGGTAAGTTACACTTTCATCAAACTCTTTTTCTGTTGGTAAGTAGTCTGTAAGAAGTCTGTTATTAAGTCTGTCTTAACACTGCTTTGAACATTATTTCTGGTATATCGCAGCATGTCAGCTTTATGTGGGAGGAAAGCCGGAAGTGATGCAGGGCTTAAATGTTTACCACATAGGTTTAACCACTAGACTCTCCCTACCCTGCGGCAAGTCTAGATTACGGTGGGGTTATATTAATACATAAATTTGTTGTAGCAGTTATGATCACTCGATGCACATGGGGTCTTATGCACCCCACGTTACGTTTTATGCGTCCCGTGTTAGGTCTGAGGTTTCATACGTCCGGGGGAACATAAAACCCCATGAACCCCACGTTACATTTTATGCGTCCCGTGTTAGGTCTGAGGTTTCATACCTACTGGGGGAACATAAAACCCCATGAACCCCACGTTACGTTTTATGCGTCCCGTGTTAGGTCTGAGGTTTCATACGTTCGGGGGAACATAAAACCACATGCACCCCATGTCTTAAATGTACTTAAATCTTATCAAAATTACAATGTCAATTATGTGAGTGAGTGAGTGAGTGAGTGAGTGAGTGAGTGAGTGAGTGAGTGAGTTGGGTTAAACGCCAGTTTTAACAGTATTCCAGTTATATCACGGCGTGTCAGCTTCATGTGGGAGGAAAGCCCGAAGTGATGCAGGTCTCAGACGTTTACCACTTTGGTGAAACCTAGAAACATAATCGGGGCGAACCGGGATTCGAACCCACAATCATAGGTTTCTGGCATGCGCAAGGGACGCAACTCTGCACATCGAATTGCGGCGCCTCAGACAACTGGGCCACCCGTGACCCGGGAATGAAGGATCAGACATGAACAAGAATAAACAAATCATGACCATCCCAGCAGTGTTTGGCAGTATCTGTCAATAACAACAAAGATAATGATAGCTTAACACTGATGCACAAGCAAGTTGGAAACTCACACCGAAGAAATTGATTACCTGGAGCAACGCTGCGATACATGAATTGACAGAATCCTCGTGAAATCAATGCATCCACCCTCCAAAGTAATGTGTGTCGCAACCTCCTCTTACACAAGCTACTATTCGTAATAACGATTAATCTATTTTTGAAACTAAAGTTCTTATATGTAACTGCAAACTTCATCAAGCCTTACATGCTTTAAATCATTCATACATATGCATATTGATTGACTGCAAGACTGTCCATGTTTACATTGCTGACATTTCCTTTGTCTAATAATGGACGTATTTCCAGAGCACTTCTACAGCACCCCGCTATTTACACAACATGGATCTTCACAGCAACATCAACATCAACATCAACACCATCGGAGGACAATGTAGCAACATCAAACCTGGGTCTAATGTTCCAGAGTCGTACATTTTATTGATTAGACTCAGTTCAGGAACACCAGCAACCATCAATATCATCTGACAGCATTTGCAGATCCAGAGGGAT